CCGTGCGACGGCCGATGGATCAATGGGATCGACATCGGGTGGTGGGAGGTGGATCCTCAAACCGCGCCGGAGCAATGGCGGCGGAGGTTTTCTGCCGAAGAGCTTGAAGACCAACAAGCGCGGGCAGATGCCGCGAGGCTCCTCAGCGATGAGGAACTCGCTGAAGCCCTCCAGGCGGCCGAGGAGGCGCAGGCGGCCGAGCGCGCCAAGAAGCGGGAGCGGCGCCAGGCGGAGAAGGCGGAGCGCGATGATCACATCAGCGAGGCGCTCCGCATAGCAGGGTGGCAGTGCCCTAACTGCTATGAATGGAACCTTTCATTCAGGCAGCTGTGCTTTAGGTGCAGCACGCCCCTCCGCTTGGCAGAGGTCGTTTCCCGCGGGATCCCGGATCCGCGGCGCGGCGAAGAGAGGGACTCGGGCTCCGAGAGCAGCCAGGACGAGCTGGAGTACGAGATCCTTCTGGCCAATCGCGCGATGGATCAGGAAACGATCCAGCCTCTTCTTAGAAGCAAACACAAGAAGAGGGGCGGCAAGAGACGTCGCGAGGAGGCGACGTACGGCAAGGGCCGCGACCCTTGGAGTGCCGCGACCCTTGGAGTGCTTGGGCAGACGCCCGTGGCAAGGGCCAGGGCAAGCCGAAGGGCAGAGGCAAGTCCGATGCCAAGGGCAAGCCCAAGGGGAGGGGCAAGTACGCCTGGGGCGCTTACGCCGCGGGCATAGTTGCCGCGTTCCAGCCCCGCCCAAGCACAAGCTGGGTCCCAGCCTTCCCGTGCGGGTCGGCTCGGCCACCGCCGAGTGTTCCGCTTCCGCCGCGGACCCCGTTTTTCCTGGGTCGCGGGCTCCTCAATCGGTTGATGCACGCCCTCAACGGGAACATCAACGGCTGGTGGGGCCTGGCGGCTGCAGCGTCGGCGCCGATTGCCTTGCAGTTGCACCGCGGGGCTGTGCATGTTGTCGAGGACTCTATGCACGCGGTTGCAGCGATTTCGGCCGACGTGGTCGAGGAAATCGGTCACGGGGCGAGGCGGGCCGTGTGGGTCGCCGGAACAGCCATCACTCTCGTGGTAGTGATCTTGTGCGGTGCTGTTCTGTGGTACGTGAGTCGTGCCGTTGCCAATCGCATTGCGCATTTGCGACATGGCAACACCGCGGCCCCTGAGGCGCGGCTGTCTCAACTCCTTGGCTCTGAAGCGACGTTTGAGGTCGCGAGCACCAAGAAAGGGGTGACCCATAAGGTTTGGGTGCACCTCAAAGAGGAGACAGCTGCCTGTGGCTGCCGTGCTTACCTGGCAGAGGGACGCTGCGGGCATTGCGATGCCGCAATGGACACCGCTCGTTCCCTAGGGTTTTTGCACGCGGCCCGGCGAGGCGCGGGTCCTGCGCTCACAGACTCCATTCGGAGTTCCGCCTCCGAAGCCCTAGCTAAGGGTAAGGTGGTGTTGGGTTTGGGGAACAGTGAAGGGTGTTTTTCCCAACTTGCGGCCAAGAGCCGCGGGCTCTCCTGCTTTCAGGGGCTCGCGGGTCGTGACCTGGCCGCGGCCCCAGCGGATGGAGCGAGCGCAGCCCACGCTCAGTCCGGCTCCGTGCAACGTGCCGCCACTGCCACTGTGGCGCGCACACCCAGCCGGAGGAACAAGGGCCCAGTTCCCGCTAGGAGTTCTCCAGTCAAAGAAGCGGAATTCCTTGCGGGCGGGCCATACGTTCAGGCCGCCCAAACGCTGCTTGGGTCTGGAGCAGCAGAGGATGTGATCTACATCCGGGCTTACAGCTTAGATTGCCCATCCTGCATCGAGGCAATCGAAGCGTCGCTTGGCAAGGGCGCAAGCGTTCGGATTGTCGCCGACATGGGACAATGCCACCGCACCAAGCTTCAGTGGCAAGCGTTGAAACGCTTGGCGGCCGCAGGTGCCGAGGTGAAGGTGGGTTGCGGCACATCCTTGCGCGACGCCTATGCTCGCGACGGCCGCGGGGCTAAGGTAGGCACCGGGATTCAAGGGCTGCACCATGCCAAGGCCCTCTGCCTACTGCGGCCTGATGGCGCGGTGGTGCTGATTGGGAGCCTCAACTTTACCACAAGCAGCAAAGCCAATACGGAGGCAGGGCTTAAGCTTGAGGTCCCCAAGACGCACCCTGTCGCGCAGTCCTACGTCGAGGATTTCCAGAGGGTGTCGGCTGAGGCATTCTCCCTCGATGAGGCGGTTGCAAAGCGCCCTCAGTTGGAGCGAGCCAGTAGCTCCAACGTTGCTGGCAACGCCACTCGTGCCCCCAACACTGCTCCACAGGGTATCGAGTAGGCTGCGGCCAGTTGGCGCGGCGTGGTATGCGTCCACGCATTATCAGAGCAGGCGTTGCAGCACGGCACGTTGCTTCGCCAACCTTTTGCACTTTCTTTGCTTGACTGCGGGCGAAAAGCCGCGGCAGGTTGGAAACCTGCCCATTTTGCATTCCCCGCACTTTTCTCCTCCGCCCTGCCTGTGGCCCCTCTTGCCGAGGGTGCTCTTTTGCAGGTGCTGCGGACCGTGTCCTGGTCGCGGCAGTGCGCTCGCCGAAGCGCGTGCGAGTTGCACTGGCTGCGGCACAAGCAATGTGCGCGGCTCTCGCTGAGTCCGGTAGCCCGTAGGGTAGTTCTGGATAGGTGAGTAGCCGTAGCCGTAGCTTAGGGCCGGTAGTTTGTACAGTGTACCATTTGTACCATAGTCTGCGTACTGGCAGCTAGAGACCAGCTCGAGGAGTCAAGAGCCTCGCCCACCAGCAAAAGGGTGAGGACCTTCAGGGAAAGGGCTGTTTAGGGCTGCTGAGGGTTGCTGTCGTCGTGCGTTCGTTTTGGTGGTGCGGGCTAGCGTCCCTGCCGCATGCCAATGCTCATGATGTGCGGACCACCGCGGTCGCACGCGACACCCTCTCCCTTCCCTTTCTGTGTTCAGCGCGAGTGCCTGCTGCACTCCGAGCTCGAGATGAGCTGGAAGCCTCGGCTGAGGGGCGAATGTGAGCAGGTCTATGCACGCACGCTGCAAGTGCAAAGCTGCCAGGACCAGTACTGTAGTTTTCCTTGCATGCGTAGTTTTGCAATTCGTAACAATGCCAATGTTTTGGCTCAAGTACCGAGCTTGTGCCTTTGAGCACGGTAGTGTCGTACAGTAGCTCTTAGGTTGCTGTGCGGTCCGACCGGACGCACTCAGGCGTAGCAGCACAAGTGCTTGAACTCGCGAAGTCGTAAAACAGCGTGACCGGGCTGTGATTGCATTGGCTTAGTGCAAGTCCAGTGCTGGTCGACTTCACAATACATGCGTATATCTTTTCATACCATACCACTTTTTCTCGTATATACTGACTCATAGACAAGCCGATTTATATCCAATCCTTGTGTAAGTCTGCGTCTGTCGAGTCCTGCAGAATTGAACCCAATCTCTGTTACGTAACAGATCCCTGGAGCCGAGCTCGTACCTGGAGCTAGTTCGTGCCCGACACTTCCACTCGCCATTGTCAGCCTGAGACTTCAGTGTACTGCAGTTGGTGTAGGATCAGGCAATGTATTGTCTACACTCAGATTCTGCAGTATGCCGCAGTTAAAAATTTAGCCTGTGGTCGACTGCCAGATACAGCAGTATACTAGTCCTAATGTACAGGCTTGGCTAGTCTTTTCAACTCCCTACTTGCAGCCGGGGAAGGGGGTTCTTTGCACGCTGCATGCGTGTGCTCCCTGGACCGCAAAGCGCAGCTTTCCCCGTGGATGCAAAAGAGTCTCCGCCCTCGTACTGTGTCACATGAACAGCAACCATGTCATTTTGTTAACATGCTCAACCTATCAGACTCAGCAAGTCTTTGAGACGGGGTGTATCCTTTCTTTTGGGCTTGTCTTTGCATCTAGTGGATAGCTTGCGAACTTAAGATATCTCTAGATATTTTTGGGAATGAGATAATAGCACGATACTAGTACTATATAATAGTACTATTATAGTACTCGAGGCGGAGAGGTGATGGACAGTCCGAACGCATCGTCGGCTTCCCTGAGCACATCGCCAGTTCCTTTAGCTGCAGACCGGCACAGCTGTAGACATGAGCGCACCGGTGACATCGGATCGATTGGTGACTTTGCTGCGTCCGCCGAAGTCGCCTTCCGGACAATCCTTCAGAGAAATTATGCCACTGGGGCACTCACTGGGCGCTATCTGTGCTCGCATTGCTATGCCAAGCTCTAGTTGGACCGAAGACAATGCTGGGTGCCAGATGTTTTTCATCGCAGATATGGTCATTTTCGGCGCCTTTGCCATGGCCACACCTGTGGGCATCGCGGCGCTCGTGGCCTCAATTGTCTGCACCATCGGTGCAGTCCTCCACGCCGGCTCGCACTTGGAGATCTGCCAGCGCAAGTTCAACAAGCACTTGAACTGGAAATGACTTGGCGGCCAGCTCTCAAGTCGCCATGTAAGCCCAGCGTTTAACTTGTCACCGCAAGTGTCAAGAGGTTAAAGATGGCAGCCACCTAGAGGTACACGGCCGGTAATATTGAAGTGGACGAGTTCAATCAAGATTTTTCTTCTTCTCAGAGGCCCTCCACTTCAGCATCCGCATACACAGCCGATAGGAGCTCAGGCTACAGGCCATTGCATAGCTTTGTTGAGGTGACGGCTGCTCTTCCATGGGCCCGGGTACTTTCCTATCAAACTCAGACAAAATACACTCCCATTGAGAGGTGATTGTGGCAGCCAAAAAGCTTTTCAAACTTCAGGGTTGGCCCCAAGAGGGAGTTTTTTTGTGCGCCTGTGTTTTCATGGAACCCCGCTTTTTCTGTGCACACTTCAATGCGTGCTGTGAGCGGTGCTTCCTGGCTGAAAGGGCAAGCTTTCCTGCAACATGGGATTGCAGTTAGCACACCTTGCATCAAGCTGTAGCTGTAGAAGACGCAAAGCCACCAAATGTGCAAGCAGAAGAAGCAGACACTGAGATGCTGTAGGGTAAAAGGCCGCCATGCCGCGGGGGCATGATCTTGCCACGGCGCAATGCGTGGTGCACGAAAGGTTCAACTGACGAAAAAGAAGGGCATTGCGAAGAAGAAGCGGACAAAGGCTGCAGCCCCAGATGTGGAGGTTGAAGATGTTGAAGATGTTGAACGTGGGTGTGAAGCGGAGGAGATAGAACATCCTTGTACTCAACGTTATACTGCAGTTGTGGTGGTTATCACGTCGGCACTGTTTACCTTGATCTCGATTTATGTGGCGCAAATGTGGTCAACATCTCCCAGCGACGGCTTGGCACTTGTGATGTCGGGACAGCAGCAGGATGCAAGCATCACCAATCCTTTATTCAGCTTGCGTAGTGCTGGGGCAGGCGTTGCCCCAGGGATTGAGGTTCGAGCGCGCAGTGTACGTACTGCCAAAGATGGACTGTGGAGTGTTCAGGATGCTCAGCAGCCAGCGCCAGAGACCGCACTCACCATAATCCCACAAAGCATCACCCGGTCGCCAATCGACACAACCCAACTAACCCAACTACCAGCCGTCCCAAGCCTTCCAAGTCTTCCTTTGTCTCCACGGCAGCGCGGAAGCTTCAAACATCCGCGAATACTTTGGATACATCTGCATGGTTATGGCGGTACAACGATTTGTGACATGGCCAGATCACAGGGAGAGAAGGTTGCACGTTCGCAGGACAACTGCAATGTCATGCCGGACTTGTGCTCCACACCCAAAGTTTTCCGGACTCCATGCAAGAAGCGGGCATCCAGCTTACAGTATACCTTCACAGCTATAGAGCGTGCTGTAGACGATGATGACCTGTCTTGTCTCGGGAGTGCCGGAAGCCAGATGCAGCCCACCATGCTGTATGGGATTATGTTGCGTGATCCACTTGCTGGTATCAAATCAACTTGGATTGGCAACGAACTGGAGAAGGACATGATCGTTAATGCGATAAGGTCCCGGGAAAAGCCGCGAAACTTCCAATACCATTTTTGCCTGCCTCCTTTTGATACGTATCAGCACTTTGATAACTTTGCTGTCCGTAGCCTGAGTGGTGATTACGATGTGGATCCCGGTGCTGTGACACACTGGCATTTGGCAAGGGCGAAGGAAGTGCTGTCCAAGCTGGATGTCATCCTCATTCTGGAACAGCTCCCTGACCATATGCCCCAGCTGCACACCGTTTTTGGTTGGGATGGTGTGACGGACAACCCTTTCAGATCCCACAGACACCGCATACCCAAGAATGCAATGAGCCCTGGCGAGGAGGCTTTTTTGAAGAAAGTCAACACCTTTGATTATGAGCTTTATGAGTTTGGTAAAGAGTTAGCCCTGCAACGCACACTACAGGCCAAGCTGCGTTCTGTCTCATAACCGAGCGTTTTAGAAAGCGTTTCAAGCCGTCTCCACGACACCTTCCAGGTGATTGTTGAATGGGAGTATGTGCCCCGTCCGCGTCCCTGTATTTGATGGAGTTGTAGGCCTTGTTGAAGGCTAAAGTCATCAACGCCATGTGCTTAACGTGTTTCCATAGTGCAAGAGACCGGATGCAGATCCCGGAAGTGTTTAAGCATGGGCTCGGTTCTTGAGTGATGTGGCTTTAGAACTTTGAGTTCGTGCCTATCATACTAGGCATGCAGGCGAACTCGTGTGGTGCAAGGTGCGGATGGGATTGTGCCTGGGAGACCGCGTGGGGTCCAATGTGACATCGGAAACTTATCCAGACCCAATTCTTGAGTTGTTTCACCTTGCATGGCATTGCATGGCACATTGGCATGCTTAATGGCCGGTCATGTATTGTGGCGGGTCGTGTTCCCTTCTGGGGAGTGTGCTGCAAAGTTGGCCCTGAAAAAAAGGAAGTACCCAGAATTTGCCTTCTCTGTACCTCGGACGCAGTGTTCATCTTCTTGGGTTGTATAGGACGCCGACGCCATGAGCCTGTGGTTTTTTTTGTGTGATGAAGATATATGAGATAGGCTTGATGGGCGAGGTGTGCTGGCTTGAGTTGTCTGCAGAAGATGTCCAATCTTGTGCTCAAGGCCAGTGTATCGGTGGCTGTTAGTGTTGAGCAAGAATATGTGGGATAGGTCATACACGGTTCAAGTATTGATTTCCCAGGGCGACTTGTGGTCACTACTCTTACAAACTTTGCGGCAAAGAGTATTTCGCAGCACATGTTACGAGGGGCACTGGCACGTCCAAGCCATGGGTGTGGTACGTGCGCTGAGCCTCCCTCAAGGTGAGACGAGTATGCCCCACTGGCCTGTGCCAACGTCCTTTGAAGGCAGCGTGGACCTCTTGGAGCTACCCAAGGTTAAAAAGGATGTCCGCCAAGAGTTTGCGGACATCTCTGCAATGGGGACCAACTTCCCTGGAGGAGACGTGATGTACCAAAGCTTGTGGCGAAAGAACGGTGGAGACTTGAATCTCTGGCCGAAGGAGGAGCGGTTCTACAAGGGCCCGCGTCTGGGTGAGTATGCACGACCTCTGGTCATGAACAGGAATGTATTGGGGTACATGAACCAGGCTCCAGTTCCTGTGAGCCCCGCAGAGGATGAATTGACGCTGGTGGCGCATGCCAGCAGCGCGGCAAAACGGGCAAGAGCTCACGCCGAGTATGCTCAACAAGCCGCAGAGAAAGCCCAGGCTTTCTACAAGGCCGCCAAGTCCAGAGCACGAGCCTTGTTCATTCCAGACCCGCCCATCAGCGTAAAGCCAACAGCCGACGTATATCCAATGTACTCGGCTGGACCGATGGCTCCGATGGCTGCATCTGTGTCTGCCTCATTGATCCTTGCAGGGTGTTCTGACAAAGGCTCATCAAAGTCTCACAGCGCCAGCCGTTTCCTCGGCCTCGACAGCCCGAGGTGAAGCCATGCCGGCGAGCCAAGTCATGCGAAGTGCGCCAGTGGCCCACCGAGCAGAAGAAAAGCACGATCCCCTGTGAGATGTGAAGCCCTTAAGCGTCCTTGCATCTTCTAGAAGAGGCGTATCGCTCATTGACGCGAGGGCTGGGCAGGATTGTGTTCAGGTGGTTGCTGAAGCCCTCGTCGGCAGGAGATGCACTTGTTGCTAGTCTGCTCATTTTTGTTCCCAAATTCATTTTCCGGGGTCACGTTGCTGCTTTCGGCTATACTGATTTCATTGCTCTTGATAACAATTCAGGGGGTTGCGCCAGGAGTCAGCTATGCCAAAAAAAACCTTGGCCCAGATATTTTTGTTCATTGCGAATTGGCAAATCGGGGGGACAACTGGCGCAATCCCTTTGGAGGACCCTGCCTCCCGTGGGGGTCACTTCATGAATGTAGAATTGGCACATCGGGGGGACAACTGGCGCAATCCCTTTGGAGGACCCTGCCCCCCGTGGGGGTCGATTCACGCGCACATGGACCTTGCAAGTAGAAGCGCGAAGATTCATGAATGTAGAACCCGCCACAACTGGCGCAACGCCCTCGATTCTTGCATCTTGAACCCGCCACAGCTGGCGCCCCCCCCCCCCCCCCCCGAGGGCGCGCACACACGCACGCGTGTGCGTTGCCCGGGACTCAGAGTTCATCCGCTTGTTGTCTCTCTGTTTCGTCTTGCTTCCTTGCGTGGGCAACAAAACATGAGCCTGCCACACCTGGCGCAAAGGCCTTGTAGGAAAGGGATGGAAAGCGAGTGTGGGCGTGATGTCGCGCAGGTGCAGCAGCAAACGTACAAAACATGGCCCCGCCACTCCTGGCGCAAAACAGGTTGTAGGGACTGCGTGTGTGGGCATGATATCTTGCAGGGCAACAGCAAATGAAAAAAAAAAAAAAAAACGCTGCCCTGCGAGTGCCTGGCCGCCCTAAACCCGTAGGTCCCCGTGCGGCCCTGTGCACGACTTTTTGTTCGAACTCTGCGCTCGGGTGGCCGCACTCGCTCTTTCAAGCTTGTGCTGTAGGGGTAGGGGGGGGGCGGGCGAGCCGGGCGGGACTTTGTGCGTGGAGGCCTCAGAACAGCTTTTTTTGTATAGAGCAGTCGTGCAGATAGGACTGCAGGTAGCGGCAGGGCGTTTGCAAGGAGTTTTGCCTATATGTATATATATATATATATATATAAGTATAGGGGCAAAGAACGTCGGGGACCCTGCAAAACCTTGGCTCGGCCGCAGAGATTTATATAAAAGCCTCCGGCTCAAGCCGCCGACCGCGCAGGAGAACAGAGTCCCAGCAATTGAAAGGGCGATGAGGTTTAAGGGAGGGGGAGGGGGTCAAGAGGGTCCCAGCAACATTTTAGGGGGGAGGGGAGGGAGTGCTAGGGGGGTTCGCAGGGGGGTCCCAGGGCAGGGGTTTCAAGGGGGGTCCCCAGAAAAACAGAGCCCGCCACAACTGGCGCAACCGCAAGGCCCGGCCGGCCACAGATTTCCGGCTCAAGCAAGCCGCCGACCCCCCCAGGGTCCCAGCAACAGGCCAGGCGGGGTTCCCGGGTGTCGGGGCGCAGGCGGGTGAAGAAGGCCCCAGCAGCTGAGGAGTGTTAAAAGAAGCGCTAGGGGGTTCGCAGGGGGGTCCCAGGGCAGGGGTTTCAAGAGGGGGGTCTCAGAAAAACAGAACCCGCCACAACTGGCGCAACCGCAAGGCCCGGCCGGCCACAGAGATTTCCGGCTCAAGCAAGCCGCCGACCCCTGCAGCGTCCCAGCAACAGGCCAGGGGGGGTTCCCGGGTCGGGTCGCAGGCAGTTGAAAGGGGTGAAGAAGGCCCCAGCAGCTGAGGAGTTTTAAAGGAGCGCTAGGGGGGTTCGCAGGGGGGTCCCAGGGCAGGGGCTTCAAGCGGGGTCTCAGAAAAACAGAACCCGCCACAACTGGCGCAACCGCAAGGCCCGGCCGGCCACAGAGATTTCCGGCTCAAGACTCAAGCCGCCGACCCCGCAGGAGAACAGAGTCCCAGGCAACGTTTTGGGGGTTGGGGGGTTTCGGAAGCCCCACCCTAAACCCTAAACCCTAAACCCTAAACCCTAGACCCTAGACCCTAGACCCTAGACCCTAAACCCTTAACTCTAAACCCTAAACCCTAAACCCTAAACCCTAACTTACCCACTCTCTCTGTCTACGCGTCAGACACTCCTCCTCCGGCATCCGTTCATTTTGCGAAAGGTCCTTCGCAGGACCCAGGTGGTGCATAAGTTGCATAAGCCTCCCAAATAGACTTGTATTCCTTGACACGCAAAATCATATCGGACAGAAAAGTGGCCTTACCCTGCGCGCTGCGGTTGCAAAGTGTGCGCCAGCACTCGGAGCATGGGGGGGGGGTTGCGCCAGGAGTGGGTTGTCGTTGTGTCCCTCTAAAGGCTTTCTACGTAGCCTACCTAGGTTTCAGCGAAATTTTTATGCATTTTCGGAGATGTACGAACATTGTTGGCTCATCCGGGTGTTGCGCCAGGAGTCCCAGGCCCCCGAGCCCCCCCCCAGAGCGGGCGTGCCAAATGTGACTTGCTTGGGAAACGTTTCAGATTGCGCCAAGAGTCTTGAAATCAGTATATGCCTGCAAGATTTCCCGTCGAAATGATGGCGGGATGGTAGGAACATCGCATGAGAAGGAGGCAAGACGCCTCCCCGGATCCCTGAGGTGGGGTCGAATCAGGGGGATTTCTCTCGTGACTCTGATGGTTTTAGGATTTGTTGGAACCTTCCATCCGGATCGTCGAGCTTCTCTGTGCAGCATTCTTGCATCGGTGCTTTGGTATGGAGGTGATCGTCCAAGCTGCCGAGCATGGGCTGCGCAGCCAGCCTGTCAGCAAAGTGCGCTCTCGTTTTCTGAGAGCATGGCAGTAGTGTTCCTTGCATTCCGATCGAAGCATCCTGCAAAGTTATCTGCTTTTCAGGTACCTGCCTGCTCCAAAGCCAGAAGCAGGAGACTCGAAGGTGCCTTGCTGAGGTTCAGATGTCCAGCCTTAGGTCAGGACATGCAGACTCCTGGATTTCTCGGCCAAAGTAGGGTCAAATACAGACCTGTCGTACTTGCAATGGCAACTTACAATGATCGCAACCACATCAACCAGGGAAAGCGCAGTAGTCACTATCAGTAGTCTTTGAAAGTCATCGCATTCTGGGTGCTCCAGGCCAGCAATGCGCCAGTGGAAGCTGAGGCCTGGCCTCACGAAGTTGAGAGTGTTTTGAGGTGGCTTCTCTTCTGGGTGCCATGGGTGTCTCGTTTGTGGCATCTTTTCTTTTTTGGAGCTCTCAAAGGGCGGCCTTTGGCGGGCTTGCCCGAGCTTTGTGGGGCTTATTCAAGTCAAGGCTTGCCCGAAGGAACTTCCAAGCTGAACTGCTGGTGCTTCGGGCAGGCAGAAGACGCGGCGGCAGCTCCCGAGGGCAAGGCCGCAAGCTTCGGGAGAGGTTCAAAGCCTGTTTCAAGGGATTCAAGAGATTCCTGAAACAGCCCCCTTGTGCCACTTGTGGCTTCCCACTCGGCTGATTCCGATGCTCCAGGCCGAAATCAAGAAGTGGACGCGGACTGAGGTGCCTGAAGCTTGCATGACGAACCGCCCAAAGTGCTTCCATGATTCCTCTTTTGCTTTCTTGCGCTCGGATTCCATGGAGCTGTGTTAGGATGCATGGAGCTCTCAGCGAAGCCGCGCATGAATGCACCTTTCGTTCTTCAGATGGGACAGCTGACGGTCCAGCAGTTGATACGCTGGCTGGAGGCGGAAGCACGGTAGCTAGCAGGGACTGGCTTCGAAGGGTCCAGTGCTTTGTGTAGCTGCTTTAGAGAAGTGTGTCACATGCTTCGAGATCACAAGTCATACTCCTGCACTTCGCCTTGTCTCCAGCGCAATGCGGGCCGATTGCAGACAGAACTTTGCAGTTCAAACGTTTGCAGCTCCCCACGTAAGCTCCGCTGCTAGCTGCGGAGCTAGCCGCCGTGGCCGCAAGGGGCTTGACGTGGATCTGTCCCCGGCAATCCCTCCTGTCCGTGCACGGCAAAGGCTTTGGGAGGCAAGCAGTTTCGTGTGTGCAGCTGCGCAGCCGGGTTGAAGTGGCTTGAAGCTCGAAGCCCTGGCACCAGGAGATCGAACAGTCCAAGCCGCCAGCACTGGAGCAGGCACGGTTTGCATGAAAGAGCCGGGCGAGTGGCTTTCGTGGTTGGCATGTTCCAATTTTTTTGGGGGGGGGGGGGGGGGGGGGGTTGGCGGGCTACAGGCGCTTTGCCGTTCAAAGCTTTCGAGGTCACGGACCCGCTGCATCTAGAGCACTGGCCCCTCTCAGCGACGCTGCGATGGCTGGAGTACTTCGGCGCTTTGGATGAGTCCCTGGCGAAGAAGGACTTTGGATGTTGACAGTTGTTTGAAGGAAGCCGCAATGTATCCGGAAACACTCAGCAGGAGAATTGCAACTGGCCGTTGTGTGTCCCGGGGTTGCATCAGTCTTCAGACCACGCTGACGCAAGGACAAGCTCATAGCCATGCTCCTCGAACAGGGCGAGGACACAGAAATTCCAGTCTCGGCAGCATTGAGCCAAATGGGGGTTTACGATAACAAGCAGACCCCCAATAAGACCCCAAATAGAAGGATCCCCTTAGAAAAGTGAGACTGAACCCCGAATATTGTAAACCCCCAAATCCATCCACCGAAGACTTTGACTGCCTCCTCCTTCGGAAGATGGGAGTCATTAGGTGGCGTGTGTGCGCAGGACTTGTCTCCTCCCAACTTCGAGGCCAGCGAAGAGGACAACTTCCTCACAGAGGCTGGGGGTTCGGCCGACCTGGTCACCTCGGGCTTTTCCTGGCTTTCCGAGCTTCTGCAGGTCTCGAGACACGTCGGCATGGTGAAGCAGGCCCGCACTCAGAGAATACTCCCTGTGTCGCCTGAGCCCAAGAAGCTTCTGACGCAGAGGCGGCGTCAAGCATCATTGCCAACCTGTCGGAGCAGCTGGCGCAGGCGAATGCCGTGCGATGGCCAGGGGCTGGAGGACAGAGTAAGGTTGAAATATTCGTTTGCTTTTGCAAAGAAAGGGCGTCTCTCGGAGTTTCAGCAAAATCCGGGACCCCTAAACCCCAAACCCCAAACCCTAAACCCTAAACCCTAAACCCTAAACCCTAAACCCTAAACCCTAAACCCTAAACCCTAAACCCTAAACCCTAAACCCTAAACCCCTAAACCCTAAACCCTAAACCCTAAACCCTAAACCCGAAACCCTAACCCTAAACCCTAAACCCTAAACCCTAAACCCTAAACCCTAAACCCTAAACCCTAAACCCTAAACCCTAAACCCTAAACCCTAAACCCTAAACCCTAAACCCTAAACCCTGGCCCGTGGGCTTTGCTTTCTTCTGCTCTGCATGGCAGGTGGACGCCGTTGAGCGGCCCAAGCACCGGTGGTTTGCCAACGGCAAGGCATGGGCCTCCCCCCCCCCCATTCTCTCATAGGACCCCCGTTTAAGGGGTTTAGGGTTTAGGGTTAGGGTTTAGGGTTTAGGGTTTAGGGTTTAGGGTTTAGGGTTTAGGGTTTAGGGTTTAGGGATCTTGAGACATCATACGACACTTTTGTACTGATTTTCTTCAGGCACTCTCGAACTTCAGCCCAGAGGAGTTCCAGGCCACCAAAGAGGCCTCTCCAGGGTGTTTTCTCAGAAGCCTGCCGCTGAGCCTGCTAAGAGTGCTAAGCCCCTTCGATGCGATGATTCAGCCGCCTCCCTTGTGCCAGCTGGATATCCCGATGGTTCACATGAAAGCCGGGGATCGAGCTGTTGTCTCAGAACGGCAAGAACGGAAGGTGTGGAAGTTTTCGGATGATATATACGCTGGTTTTGCAGTGGTGCTGCGGGATTCATCCGTGTAGCCAGTGTTTCGGTGGGTGTTGACGGCTTGCGTCTCTTGACAGAAGGGCAGCCATGTAAGCAACATCTGCAATTTTCTGCCCTTGCTCCAGCAAAGGTCGACGTTACCCTGAACGAGGCCTCTGTGGACTTGACCGTTGAAGTGACCAAATCAGACAAGCATTTTGCCGTCATTTCTGCGGGCATGTGAGCTGTACGGGCTTGTCAAGTGAAAAACGACCTCTTCTGAAGCATGCCACGCCAAGCTTCGAATCTACATTTTGGATGGTCGCAGTGAGCATCCACCAAACATGCTGTGGCGAGACACGACCGTGGTCCCCGTCTCTCCCGTCCCCGCCTGTTCTGAAGTGGTCGTGCAGAGGCCGGCGGCTGGGCCTGGGTTGTCCTGGAAGATGAAGTCACATCCGGGTGGGCGCCGAGCCCAGTCTGGGCAAGTACACGACATGGAGGTGTACTTATAGGATTCAGCACCGACATGCAGCTTTTGCTGTCCGGGTGGTGCAGGAGTGTGGCGCGATTCAGATGTCTGTTGATGCCACTGTTGATATCAGAGTACTGATCAGGTATGCAACTGACACGATTCTTGTTTTGGCCGTTTGGCTCTGCTGCACGAGGCCTTTGCCTACCCATTAATTCGTTCTCATGGCCATGCAAAGAAAGGACAGCAAGACGTATGGCCGGTAGCATGCTTTCCTGAAACAAGGGACCAAGCTCAAGACGTGGCAGGCACAAGTCTTTCCCCCGTCCCCACAACCCCACAGCCCCACAACCCCCCCCTTCCCCCCCTCACTTCTGCCTGCCTCTTGTACCCAACCCCCCCAGCCATTTGAAGATGGCCGCCGCCGCACCGCTGTTGAGCACTTCCTCCACGCTGCGGCGCCGGAACAAGCCCCGGTCTGTCTTCGGGTACTGGCGGCTTGGTCCAAAGATGTAGCAGAAGATCTGCTTTGGTGCAATCTCTGGTGATGTTCGGCACTCTTGTGACTCAGAGGGCACATGTGCCACAGGCCAGTATGGACCGAGTGCATGCCCCTCAATGAGGACACGGGCAAGATTGATGGAGTGCGAAACCTGTCAGCAGGATAGTCAGGTCTTCGTCCGCAAAGTCCACACTAGGTAGGGGGTTGCTGTGCCTTCAGTGCTCAGTTTCTGCAGACAGTAGTATGGTCACGGGGCAGTTTAGATGGATGTAATGCTTGTGCGGGAAATAGCGTCCGCCTTAGGAGTGACAGCGAATATTATCGCCGGGTGCATCATCGGCATCCGACAAACACTCACTGGCATTGTCAGCGCGACATTGGTGTTCACGGGATCATCCTTCCCAGAGGTCACACACATGTTCTCCTTCGGCATCTGCATGAAGCTGGGTTGTTAAGGCTTTCGCGGCATGCGCAATTCAGAGAAGAAGCTCTTTTATGTGCAAGTGCTTGCTACCAGTCAGGTCAGGGAGCTTGAGCTTCATCTCAGGATGTGGTACTCCACCATGGCCGGATCAGCATTCTATGCCATCTTCGGGCGACTGCAGTACAACACCAGCGCAACGCAAGAGGTCTGTGCGATCCTCTACGGTGCCATGGCGCAGAATGCGGCCGAGACTCTGCGTAAGGCAGGGCAGCCGGAACGGATCCCGGCCACGGCATCTCGACCATGGGGAAGAAAGAGCGCTGTAGCTTCATAGGCCCTGCACACTTCAGAACGTCCTCGGAACCTCTCGGAACCTCTCAGGTCCTGGCGCTCATCATGGCAGGAACCTCCCTGACTGGACTCTGCAGCGTGCTGCTGGGGAAGCTGGGGGTCGGCAAGGCAGCCGAACTGGCAGAAAGTATGTCAGGGAGGGATCCATTGGTCCATGAACACAAGAAATGGGCCCCCACAAACGCCGCACTCCAACGTTTTGCCGCAAGGTCATGCTCCGCTTTCCCAGTCCCGTGACAAGCGGCTTTCTGGGCACCATCGGCTTCTTCCTTGTGCGAACTGCCCTGCAGATTTCCTCCGGTGCCCTGGATTGCACTCAGGCTCACCAGAAGGTAGGGCAAGAGCACTTCGCGCTTCTGCAAGCTGCTCCCACAGGCGTGCAATTTCAGTACTTCTACCCGGTGAGCTTTGTCGATTTCTTTGCACTGCGAAGCATGGCGCCCGTCTGCTGCCTGCTGTCCATGGCTCCTCGGTCCTATGCAACACACGCAGAAGCGCTCTCTGTTTCGCAAGTGCAGGCTTCTCTAGTCGTAACTCTGAGGTGGTGCTGATTCGAAATGGCCCTGCATTGATCGCCAAGAAGTATGGCCAGAACAAAGCAGTCATGAAGCTCTCTGGGCTCGGATGTCAGCTTCTCCCACTGGCCCTCTTTTACATGGTCATCTTCTGCTGCAGAATCCCCATGGAAGTGCTCAGCGAGACGGGCTGGACCTTCCCGGCACAAGCAGGCCGCTCATTTTGGGGCTTGTGGACGACCTACAGCATCAGCGATGCAGATCCTGACGTGCTGCTGTCCAATGTCTCTTCGATGTTCATGCTGGTCATCATGTCCGTGCCCGGGCAGAACTTGAGGTCTGCATGAACCATGCACCTTTAGAATCTAAAGAGAAGCTTTCGATTTGATGGGGTCTTTTCATCCCCTGGAGGGGCCTAGGACGAACTTAAGCAGAATGGCAAAGGAATCGTTGCTTTGTCGTAAGGTTCTCTGCACAATGACCGGTGTCCTGGGCATCACTGGGAAGTTCGCTTCAGGTCCGGACGGAGACCCATCCCCTATGGAAGTGGTCGACTTCGATGCAGAGCTCACGACCGTTGGCTTCGGCTCCCTCCTCACAGGTGTGGTTGCCAGTTGTTGATTTTCGAGGTTTGACGGCTTCGAAGATGCCCCGAGGGGGTTTCAGGTTTGCTGGAAGCCCTGTGAGGCCTGACCCATGGCGTGGTGACCTTTCACCGCCTTGGCAGCTCCATCCAGCTGCGCATGGATGGGGGTACGCACCGCCTCGCCGTGCTGACCTCCTCGGCCTTCGTGGGCATCTTCTTCTTTACCAATGCCCCTCGGACTTAGGAGCTTTCTTGGCGTCATGATTTGGGGGGAAAAAGGGGGGGCTCGGCAGGTGCCGCTGGGCCACTTCATCCCGAAGTTCTTTCTGGGTGGCCTCTTCATGGGCAGCGGTGCAAGTTTCCTGGAGAGCGCCTTCCTCTCCTTCCGCAGCTTGCCACCCCTCTGGGTTCTGGGCTACCGGCTCCCTTCGCTGCAGTGCCCTTGTCGTGTTGCAGTAGGGGTTTTTGTGGGGGCTTGAGATGCTTGAAGGGGTTTATGAATTCGGGGCTCTGGGTCAGACTGGCAGACTCCATGCATTTCTGAATTAGGTACTGGGTGACGGTGGCCTGCATCCTTGTCGCGGCCCTCAGCTCGCCTTTCCAGGGCATTGGGGCCGGCTTGGCACTGAGTCTGGTCATCTTCCTCTACGACAGCACCTTGCACTGAACAGAAGGGGGAAAGAAGGGGAGGAGGTCGTAGCTGACTTTGATGGACATTCTAGGGCCCACAACGGATACACAGCATACACAGCCAAGGCACGCAGTCCTCTCCTGTGGACAGCATGCCGCTGGGCAAACCAAAGTGTGACACCTTGCTATGTCCATGCTATGTCCATGCCAAAGACACCAGACTCAGCCAGGCATCCACACGAGGCCACACAAGCCTTTCACTCTCTAGCTCCAATTTCCAATTCGTGGTTTTGTCCGTTTGGTCTCTGGGATTTGAGGTCCACCGGGGACCGGACCATGAGCCGCACGCGGCGACCCTTCTGGGAGCTTGAGTCCCTCGGCGCTGAGGGACAGCGCATCCTGCTGCTCTATCTTCAGGCGGCCTCCGCAACTTCCCCTCCCTGCACGAGAGGGGAAGCTCTTGCGAGAGCTTTCGCATGCTTCCGCCACATTTCCATGATCGTGGTTCGTGATTTCTCAAGCAGGGCCAGCTCTTCTTCGGCTCGGGGCAGACGCTGGCCGCCAGCCTCGTGGAGACGATCGAGGGGGCCCGCAGGACCCGACTTGAGAATGCTTTGTTTGGGGCTCAAGGGAGTTCGGGGTGTGTTGGGGACCTTTGGTCTCGTGCTCAAAGCGTGCTCGCTACTGCCGGAGGCCTTTGCCGCCAGAGTTCTGCATCCTCAGCTTCGGGAACCTCAGCTTGCTTTTTTTTTTTTTTGCGGAGTCCTCCTGCCACTGCCGCCCCAAAAGACCGGTCCGGCTGTCAAAGCTCCCAAGATTCCCAGTAGACATGTGTGTGACATAGCCACAGTCGAAGTGAAGCGCCGAGGAAAGTTTCGAGCATCGACTCTTGGCATCCTAAAACGAACTCTGAAAGCCACGCACCCAATGTGCAGTGAAGTTGCACGAGCGCTTTTGGAGCTTCCTTGTTGCAGTGCCCACCGGGCTGCAGTGGCTGTAAACTGTGGCGATTTTTCAAGGATGCCTCCGCTGCTGAGCAGCTGAAGACCTCTGTCAAGCGAGTGGCCACCCTGGGGTGCAAGGCAGGCGAGAGAGATTCATTTTGCATGTCTTGGAGGGAAGCGCCCCGAAGTTCCACAGGTCCTCTTCTGCCGGATGAACTCGCAAGTCTTCGAGGCTCTTTCGGTCAGCGGCGTGGCCTCCCGGCTGTGATTGGAGCTTCCCCCTTTTCGCCACTTGTTTCACCAAACATCCATGAGTCCATATACAGGTCAAGTCACCCGACTCTGACCTGCGGGAGCTCCTGGGCCTGAGCTCCGGCTGCACTCATAAATTTTAATGCAAATTCCTTTTGAAGTCGCAGTCAATCCGATGCCAGCTCCCAGTTCCATGTTCAGGAGCGACCCTTCGGAAGATGGAAGCTGGCAGGACGCGGGTTAGGGTTAGCCATCAGCGGTCGGCAGAGGCAGCGGCTGGCCAGGACTCCCCGAGTCCTCCTCCGGAGCTGAATGCGGAGATGGAGGCAAACAGCCCCCTGGTGGCCTTAGTGTCACATCCCTTGGTGTCCTTCTGGGTGCTTCAGGGTGCTTCAGGGTGCTTCAGGGTGCTTCGGGTTTCGGGGCCCGTTGGTTTTTGTTTGCGTGCGGATGTTCGGGCAGATGCTGGTTTCAGCTCAGGCCCAACAGGCAAAGGTGACATGAACTGCTGGGCGAAGATGCAGCCCTTCAGGCCCTTAGGCCGGCCTGAGCATGTTTTCAGGGTTCGTGCTTTTCCTCCGCATCCGACACCGGTGCAGTGCACCAAGACCCTGAAGTCCAAACGGAAATTCTCGTTGCGGCACCAGCCCCTGAAAGGGCAGGCGGACTACGATGCATTCGACGATGTGAATCTCGGTTCAACTGTGTCCAATGCCAGGATGCCTTTTCCTTTCACTGACCCCACCCGCGTACTTATCTTTCAGGTTCGGTTTGAAGGTGCTCCCGGGTGTTCTCTGAAACCTCACCCCCAAGTACCGGGGCGGCTTGTCTCAACCTGAGGCCTTGCTTGCGCATCCACGTGTCACCTTAGGACGGATGCTCTCGACTACACGGGAGATCAGGTGCTTGAGCGCTACCTGTACACCCGACAACAGCTGGACACGTTCATGCTGGAGCCACTGGGATGCAAACAGTAGAGGAATGCTCCTTGCTTGAAATACCGGAACAATCAGACCTGCCTTTTGTGAACTTTTGAGCTGCCTGTTTTGCAATGGTTTTTTGGTTTTTGGGAGGTACCGGACTGCTTGCTCGACCGGGTCACGCCTTGGCCACGCTGCATTCGAGGCCATGAACCTGCTGCCGGCAGGCCCCCGAAGGGAGCAAAGAGTGCACGGGGAGAGGGAGGAAAAGACGGGAAAACCATGTCGTGAACAGGACATCGGGGAAGCCACACGCAGCTCACTGCGCAGCGCAATCACAAGCCTTATTGATTTTGACATCTTTGGCAAGGTTTCCTCGGCCGGTTGCAGTCTTTCTGCTTGGTCGAGCGCAGCCTCACGTCGGGACGGGATGGGACGGGGGACAAAAGGAGCTAAACAGCCAGAGTCCATAGGTGTGTGGTTTCGGGGTCGCCAAGCTGTACTGTAGCCTGGAGTTGATGCACCTGCTGCATCGACTGCTTCGTGTGTTGGGATGCAGACTGTTGCAGCTCAATTCCAAGCGTCTGTGAGAGCAGGATCCCGTCTTCCCGGTTCCGACGCGCTCTTCCTGATACTGCAAGGCGCGAAAGCGGGTGACCACGAGAGCGGGACCTTACGGCCTTTGCTTCGTTACACCCAGGGTAGGAGTGGCCTTGTCCAGTCAAGGTTCTTAGCTGACACGATGGCTTGCAAGCAAAGCACCTGTCCCGACTATTCTGTTGGCCCTCTGGCCGGTGGTCACCAAGCCTGATAGGACCCTGCTGTTTACTTGAGTTGTCCTTGGCTCTTCGAATCTACTAGAGCTGCTTGAGATGGCTCGCTAGGTGCGGTTGCTATGGTGGAGCTGCCCGAGGACATTTCCCTGCACTTAAGAACGTTCTTCCCTTTTTTTGGAAGGTTTGCAGGGCTCCGTGCTGTGAACGTCGCGAGAGTCCACGGTCCCAATGAGGCGCATGGCATAGAAGCGCCTCTGCAAATGAAGCCAAGGAAGGCAAGGACGGAAGGAACAGCCAGGTCTCGGTGAAAGGCGGGGACACGATGCAGCATGCAAAGCATATGCAAAGCCTTCGAGCTACATCAAGCTACAATGCAAGATTTTCTGGGAAAGTCTCTGTTCAGCCATTGATAGCTACTGAAGAAGATTAAGGGCACCTCGCACGTGCCAAGGTTTCCAGGGCCGCCGAGGGACGCGGCTGATGAGGCGGTACCCGCCGCTTAACACCGCAAAAAATGTTGTTCTCTCTTTTGACGTTCGGAAGTGTGTACCTCTCACGAGGTTCGGCTGGGTTTCTCTTGGCTTTGGAGTCGTTTTGGGGTGTGGAGGGCTCTTCTCGGAGTAGGAGCTCCTCTTCAGGCCGGGAAGCTGTGTTGGAATTCACGAGTTCCTGCTCACAGGCCGCCTGGCAGAACTAGCGAGTCAAGGATGGTGATGGGATCTTACGAAGTGTATTCTCAAGGCAGCTCTGGGAGGTATGACTTACAGGAAGCTTTCAGGATATCGCTTGGAGGGAGACTACAGAAGGTTGAGAGAGGGAGAGAGAGGATTGTGATGGATGTTGCAGGATTTGGAAGCTTGAAGCTGCCATTTAAACCACGGCGATTGACTGCTCATCACGAAGTTTCATGGGACATCAAGCGGCGCAATCGCAGTATGCTGTGAGCTGCCCCGTGCCATACAGTCATCGGCATAAGAATATACGCTTCGAGCATCTGATCGTTTGGCGAGCGGGTTGTAGGCACTTCGCCTGGTTCCTCTGCTCCGAAAAGACATACTCGACTCAGGTTGCAAGAGGCTCACCCGAGCAACGACCAGATGGGTGGTCTCCAGCGCTTGGGATGCAGTTCAGTGTTCCTCATGCACATCGAAGCCCCATGCGGTCCTTGCCATTCTTGGTCATTTCCAAGGCAAGTTTGGTTATTCTACGGAAGTTTGGTGCCTCGACAGAGAGGCTTGGAAGTCGATGACTGAGGACATGGGACACGGTTGAACTCAAGTATACAGAAAAAACCGCAAACCTCTTGGAGAAGGGTGCAGCAATGCAACCTCAGAAGCTTGCGCAGGACCTTCGGCAGATCCTTAGCGACTGGTGCCTGCGGCAGTTAGCCGAGGCCGCTTCAGGGTACTTAGCCTGTTGAAAGCTCCGATCTGGGAGAGTCAACGCATGTCAACGGCAGTCCCGTAGTCAGGAGGAGCAGCACTCCCTGCTCACGGGCTTCTGAAAGGCCCAAAGTGGCTTCGAGGAGATCCCCACGCAGAAGCGGCAAAAGAGTTCGGGGGGGGGGGGGGGGGGCCGGGGGCATATGGGCAGGATCGCAGGATAGTTGCAGCGGACCTGCGTTTCTGCGTGGCAGCTTCCGAGGCCCTGTCGAGCGCCGTGACGGAGGTTGCAAATGCCCTTCAGGACTGCAGACCTTCTTGGCTTCTACCTGTCTCTTCCTCTATCTGACCCCGAGTCGCTCATTCGCTCATTTGCAGGCTCTGGTTTAAGATTCTGGTGAGTCGTGACGAACCATGCCTAACTGTGAGGACTACGGACAGGATTCCGAGGACCTTCCGCCGGGAATCAGGGATGGACGGGGCTGTGGGGCTTTGGCGTTGTTTTGTTGGGGGAGGTGGTTTTGAGATTTGGGGCTTGTGCTTATTCAGGGAGTGTGGAGTTTGGAGCTTCCCCTAGACCCTAAACCCTAAACCCTAAACCCTCAACCCTCAACCCTCAACTCAACCCTCAACCCTAAACCCTAAACCCTAAGCCTGCTGTTTCCACGCTGAGTTTGCCGGGAGAAGGAAGCCGAGGGCATGAGCCTGCGCTGCGTGAAGGGAGAAGAGCTTGAGGCGAGGCGTCCGCACCTGCGGAAGCACCGGTTTCAGGGTTTTTTAAGGGTTTAGAGAGGTGTTTCTCAAGGGCTTTTAGGGTTCAGGAGTTTTGTGTTCATGCTTTTTTTTTGCGTAGGGCCTGGTCTCCCAGTGTGGGAGTAGCGGGGTAAGTTGGTTCAGGTCATCCTTCGCCACTACAGCGGCTGGACCCTGTGCCGGAAGCCGATTCCGGGAGAAGGCCAGAGTGCACACCTGCTCGAATCTGCCAGGTCTTCTAGATGTGAACCTCGTCGGTTTAGGGTTTAGGGAGTTTAGGGTTTAGGGTTTGGGGTTTTGGGGGTGCGTCGCAAGAGACGATATGAGAGGTGGAGAAGGCCTAGCAGATCTTAGCGGTTTTGGGTTTAGGATTTAGGATTTAAGGTTTAGGGTTTAGGGTTTGGGATTTAGGGTTTGCAGTATAGGGTTGCGGATGAGATGAGCATTCTGCAGACGGGGCCAGGAGATCTGACTCCCAAGCAACCAGCGGAGGAGGGCTGGATGCCGGACAACTGCCCGCCCGGCTGATCGTTATCATGTAGCATTGTGCTGAATTGTGGCTATCATGTTGCTTGGTGTGCTTATCACGATAGCTATGATGACTGTGGTTATGCAACGGTTATGATGAGGAAGATGAGGATGACGATGGAGACGAAGATGTGAATTAAGAAGAATAACAATACTGATAATTGGTAATGGTTGTAATAGTCTCATGATAATGATAACGATGGCAATGACGAAACGATTTCGCTGATGATGACGCTGGTGCTTGCGGTGCTTGCGCTGACGACGACGACGGCGACGGCGACGGCGATGATGATGATGATGATGATGATGATGATGATGATGATGATGATGATGATGATGTGGATACTGCTTCGCACAAGACTTTGGTTCAGTTCTCGGGTAAGGGTACTTTTTATGAGAAAAAAGTTGAATCTGTTGTTTTGGTCCACCACGCCAGGTCTCAGCGACCATCCCAGGAACATGGCCACGAAGCAGCCGGGCACTCAGCTTTGCGCGACTTGGTTACAGCTTCCCTACGTCGAGAACGTCCCACTCCAACAAAAGTAAAAGTCCCCTCCCCCCCTTTTTTCACGGTCATGAATCCTGTGCACCACGTTACATCCAGGCCCTAGCCAGCGAGGTTTGCTTGTGCACAGGACCATGCTGGGGTGCTGGTGAGCTCTGGTGTGATGGCGACTGAGATGTCTGCTTCTTGCGAGGCAGCACCTCATCCTCTCGGGGCTTCAGCGCCTCGCTGCGGAGCTGAGCCAGGTCGAGGCCTCGCTGTACCGGCCGGGGCCCCGAGGCCTTTGTTTATTCAGAAGACCTCTCATGGAACGTCCCAGCCCTTGCTGAGGTTCTGTCGGAGTTCTTTTCCGGGGATTCTTTTGGGGTTCTGGCCATGGGAGCTCCTTGGTGCGAGGATTCAGACGGAGGGCGCAGAGGAGGAGGATTCCCTGCAGACGCTCCATGCCAAGGTGGCAGGGAGTTGGGGTGTTTTTGGGCCTTTCAGGGCTTTCAGAAGCTTTGAGATGTGAGTGTCGTTCAGCAGCCCGTGTGCCCTGCGTCCTCTCTTTGTTCCAGGTATGCGAGCTTGTGGAGGAGTACCGAAACATCGCCGCTATCCTGCAGGTGCGCGTGTAGTAAATAAGATCTGAAGTGGCTGTCGCAACAGCTTGCTGCACATGTCTTTCCCGCGTCTCCCTCGTCCCTTTTGTGCAGGCCAACCCGCAGCTCCTGGGCCAGGAGGCTGGGCAAAGGGTTGCGGCTGTAGCTCTGGGCCTACCTCGGAATGTTGTCTGGTGCTTTGGAAGGAGAGCCAGGCTGTTTCGGAGGAGGACCGCAAGGCTTCTTTGCACCATCTGTCACCGAGTTGCCAGTCCTCATGTCAATAGACTGAAAGCCGGCAGTCCATCGAACCTTCCACCTTTAGCCCCCCCCCCCCCCCCCCCCCCCCCCCCCCCCCCCCCAAAAAAGGAGGCAGCAGCCGTCAGTCGCAAAAATCTGACCAGGCCCAGGAGCCCACGAATGCCAACGGCCTGCCAGCTTGGGTCCGCCAAGCTCCCGGCTTTTCCCCACATCGGATGGGGGCCCCCTTTTTGTTCCTAAAGGCCGCTGAATCCCATGGTTTTTGATGTTTGAGGTGTGGAGGGCCGCTGCTACTACGTTTCGAAGACGCAGAAGAAGCTGATGAGCGCCGCATGCCTGGAGCTGGTCGGAGTCTATCGGGGTTTTGCCAGTGCTGTGGTCCCTCTTCGGCGGCCTTCTTGCTCGGGACAGCTGTAACCGTGACAGGTTTCGGGTTACAGTGACAAACACCATCAGGCCTTCTTGCAAGTAATCCCTCAACAAAGCGTAATCAGTTTTGGCATTGGTTTCTAGTGAAGCAAAAGAGAAGTACAGGAAGCGAGGACCCACAACCTCAATCAAAAGCATCCTCATCCTCCTGGAGATTGTGTTGTGCAGACAAGGGCGCACTAAAAAAGCGAGGCCCGTTCTGTGCTATTCTTTGTTCAGCTCAGGTGACGATCAAGCGCGTGGAAGCCCTAGGAGAGCTGCAAGCATCCTCTTGAGCCTTACCTCTGCAATCTGATGAAATCGCAATCTCTCAACAAAAAATTGTCTGAGGTCTGCGACGTGCGCCAGCAGATTCTCGTCACGTTCGACTCCGACCGCAACGCTCGGAAAGTGGCCGTGGGCTGAGTTGGGCTGAGGCACCTTTCCAAGAACCTTCCATCTTTGAAAGCTCTCAAAGTTTGTGCTTTCCCGAGTGGCCATCTTGCCGAGGTGGAGTTCGCAGCTTTTGCAGACGTGGCCTCCTGCCCCCTTCAGCCCAAGGCAAGCGGAGAGGGAGGGAGGGAGGGGACAGTTCTGAGCGAGCCCCGCTCCAAGAGAGGCAGAGTGGGCTTTCGGTGGTGTTGGCCTATCGATGGCTCTGCTCACAGGAGAAGTCGAAGACGAGGAAGAGCCGGGTCAAGAAGCCTCACGCCTGGTTGCCCAGCGCAAAGTCCAGCTCTCCAGGAGGGCTTTCCGGGTGGGTCTCCGACACAAAGGAGCAAGGGACCGTGAAACAGCAAGCATGTGACCGGGTGGTCTGATCACTCCTGGTTGGTACTTGGGCACCTGACACAACACCAAGGACGAGCTTGCAGAAGATCTCCGGGATGTTATCCAGGCACGCCTAGACTATCATCTCGGTGTAGCTCCGAAACGGCAAGGGTGGGATTGTTACGGCATGTGGGAGGTTGGGTTTCATCTTCTTGTATGCCATGTGTACCGTTTCAATCCGGGCTTTTCCTCCAGTGGACAGTCCAAACTGACATCCTGAACTTTCCTGAGCATCTATGGAGCTCATCTTCGTCCGCTGCTCCCAGGACCTGGGACCTCCAGGCGAAATCTCAGCTGTCGCGGCCCGAGGGAGCGGCGCAACACTGCACGCCTCTGTGCCACAAGACGTACAAGGGACCCATTCATTGAAGCTCAGTTTGCCTGTGGGAGTCCCAGGCTGCGTCGTCGGATTCCGAGTCGGACAGCTACACTTCCAGCGACTACACGTCCTCCACGGCTTTGGGCATGGGCCCCAATCAGTGCTCGGAACTCCGATGATGTGGGTCCGATGCATGATCCATGGGAACGGAGCATCGTCGAGGAGCCGTATGAGAGGGGCTTTCTTTGCACTGTGCACTTTGGGGGCTCCTTGCCTTGCAGGCTCTGACCGGGGAGATGCGGCTACCGGGCCAGCACCTTGGAGCCTCAGCAGGACCAAAGAGAGGAGCTCAAAATTAAGATCCTTGAGAGAAGCGAGGTTTTGCAGAGCCGGTTTTTTGGCAATTCGTTTGTGAAAGAGATCCTTCGCATGTGAGGCCTGAGTTCCATGAGGGAAGCGGCTCGTCGACAGCAGCGGCCACAGAAGCAAGGGCTTCCTCCTCTTGCTGCGTTTCTTTCTACTCTCGGCATCCCAACGTATTCTAGAGCAAAGCAGAGCCACATTTCTCAGATTGCGGGAGAGATGGATCCCAGAATCGCGATAGGTCTAGAACAGGGAGTGACCCTTGAGCCTAGAGAAGTGTTACGATTCTGGCCTGAAGCACTTGTGGAGCCCCAGCATCAACAGTGCTTGAATCCTACCTGCCATCCCCAGTGAATCCTCGACACCTTTCGCCGAAACTCCTGTTACTGAGTCGCCCTGCTTCGGACCCGAGCAAGCCGAGGAGAAGGCCTTCATATGGGTTGTACTTCTGGCTTCGACCCAGTATGCTTACCCTCCCAACATACACTGATACAAGCGGTAGACCAGGTAGCTTCTCCACGACACCCCACTCATTTCGCTTGGGTGGGAGAGACGACCGAAGCTGGGTTAGGGCAGTAGCCTTGAGCAAGGTTTTCCAGCGCACCAGACCGGAAGACGGGCCTATTCCCTCTTTGCAGGCGCGTGAAGCTGAGAAGGAGAGGGAGGCCGAGGCCCGTGAGCTTGTTGAACCGAGAGCGGAGGGGTGCATCCGTAAAGCTCGCTTGTCGGCTACAGCAACCTGCACAGCAGCCGGTGCTAAAGTGCTTGTGGCATGCTTCTGCGCAGCAGCATGGGATGTTCGTTGCCCGCAGCTGGCAGCGCTGCTGCAGTCATGAAAGAAGGTGAGGCCAAGACTACATGCGGAAAGAGGAACCTCTTCAGTCCAACTCAAAACAGACGCTTTGACACCACGTGCTTGCCACACTCCTGACCCATAACCAAGACAATCCTGTGCTTTGCTGCAGCATCAAGTCTCCCTTCACGGGGCAATGCAACCGTGGGCTCTTTTTCCTAGAAAGGATAGCTTAAGTGGTTTCAAGACAGGGCTGACTCCGTTGAATGGCGCCGGGCCACCCAGAAATGCGAAGACATGACCGACCATCCGCTTCGGGCCTTCCGGAAACGGCTGGAGGCAGGATGGGAGGGAAGGCATGTTTTGCTTTATGTAGGTCTGTTGGTGGTAGCATGTGGTGGTGTTATGTAGTGCTGGGCTGTGCCAGTGTTTGAGGTCCTGCTGAACTGCAGGGACACAGAGGCCTACAAGCAGCAGGTCAGTGATGCAGCCCTGCTGGCGCCGTTTTGCTGCATTTGCCCTGTTGCGCCGAAACCCCGACAAGAACTCCTTTCATGTCGATATTGTTGCTGAGGTGTGTTCCGGAATGCATTCCTGGTGCCGTCGAGATCATTGATAGTATGATGTGTTCACCGACTTCAAACATCCGTGCGGTGATGCATGTGGTTGATTGTGTGCTGCGGCGTGGGATGAAAGGAGACGTTAATCGTGATGCCGCTGTTCTGTCGAAGGTGATGGGATCACGCCTGAGCACCTGGTTGCGTGTTCTCCTGCTCTCCAAACGTGCCCCAGAACAGCTGGAGAAGAGCAGGAAGATGATACAGAGTTGGAACGCTTTTGGCGTCCTACCAATGGACGGCCTCCTACCCCTGCTCGAACTGATGGACGCGCCAGCTTCGGCATCCGAAGACTCCCAGCAGTCCCAACAGTCCCTGGACTTTTCGCAGTCGCAGCCCTGGACCGAGAGCCAAGGTGAAGGTGGGATGAGACAGGGACGATACTCGAAAACTTCAGGATTTCGTGAGAAGATCCGTCCGGTCGAGTGAAACATTGTAACTCCAGGTCGCAGGCATAGGTTCCTCGAGAAAGGGTTTAGACGGGTTTAAGATGTTTCAGTTGCGGCAAAATTGCAGGTGCAGATTTCCCAGCCCGGCAGCAGCCTCCACTGCCGCAGCCGGTACCGCCGCAGCCGGCACCGCCGCCACGGACACCGCCATTGACGGAGCCGGCCATGCCGGCAGAGCCGGCCGCCAAGCGCGCCAAGCTCTCCGGTGAGTGTGGTGTAGCGCCGAAGCTGAACGGCAAGATGTGTGAGGCGGGCAGCTTTCAGCCTTTCAGCCATTCTTTCAGATGTTCTTTCGGTCGAGACATGTTGTTGACATGGCCCTTGAGTCCATGACTTGCTGCCCTCGGCAGTCTGTGCGAGGAGCCACCTGTGCAACCTCACGAGGCCACACCAACACGAAGGCTTCGGAGCATGTCGCTGCGTGACATATCGTCATATCGCAGATCGTGTCGCGACAGTGACAGTGCAGTGTGGAGGCTGGTGCTGCCCAGTGCCCAGAAAGACAAGAAGGCAACTCCCAGGCGCTCCCTGGACACGAAGGCGAAGGCCTCTGCGGCCGCTGCGCCCACTGCGGCCACTGCGACCACTGCGGCCACTACGCCCACTCCGGCAGTGCACCCCGCCACACCGGCTCCCGACGCCCGGCAACCTGGTCCATCTGGCCCACGGCCTGTCACCGAGAGACGGGCGTCGGCGACAGCGTCCCCTCCAGTGGTGGGGAGATCGGTCCTAGAACAGTTGCAAGCAAAGAGCCAGGCGCAGGAGGCCCAGAAGCCCAATGATTGCAGTCAGGAGCTGCAGGAGAAGGCTGGATCGCCTTTGCGAAGCTGGCGTGAAACTTGGCATCTTTGCGGTGTGTAGCAGTGTATCATTCTGGAAGGTGCCCGCTCGCCGGACTTCCATCTCCTGGCGTGTGCGGGGCGACTGCCGCTGCCTCTTCCGTGCCGTAATGCGCGCGTATAGGTTGGATGCTTGGACACCGAAACCTTTGGAATGCCTTTGCTAGCTGTTGGGCCTTTCAGATATGATGAAAGCATATGAAAGCATTCTTCAAAGTCCAACTGAATCTACTTCCAAGTGCTCCAATCTTGCAGTGATGATCCTGCAAATGCTTGTATGTCTGCAGAGCAAAGGATCCGCTCAACCAGCAGCCGCGAGACGAATTGGGCGAGCCGGTGGACGAACAGCAGCGCGTGCATGAAACTTGGCGATGGAAGTGTCTCTTGGTTCTCTGGCATGTTCTGGTCCCCTTTCGCCGCATTCTGCTTGCAGCCATTTGGGCCAGCCTTGAGTTTTCGTCCTGGCTGCATCCTCTTGTATGTGGAAAGGAGGCTCCTTGCCCAAGCTCTCGCGTTCATCGTAAACGGGTCTGGCTGGTCAAATCACAGCCAGCCGAACCAGCTTTTCATGACCACCAGGTGCACTGCCAACTACAACCAGCTATCTAGTCAGTTGCTGCACCTGTTCACGATTACAGCCGGGAAGAAGCCTTAGGCGCAATGGCGCTCAAGTCCAGGAACTGAACCCAAAGTCCCCAGAAACCTGAGTTACATGAGCAGTTACGATACGGATTCAGAGACGAAGGTGCAAAGGCTTGTTGTCATTTCTCTCTCAGGAGCGGGAGTACGCGGACAAGCTTCGCAAAGTTCTCTGCGACGAGTTCCTGCGGCGGCAGGAGTGAGCGTCAGATTGCGGTATTTCTTGTTGCGATTCGATTGTCACGGTGTTCTCACAAAGACTCGGCATCGCAGGCAACCGAGGCACAAGGGGCACAACACCGAAAGCAGTGCAACCATGGACAAATGAGAGAGTGTAACTGCCCTCCCGCTAGGGAACACTTGGGATCAGAATGACGTTCGCGTGCTCCCGCGTCTGTTGGATGTTTGTAGCCTGCCTCTGTTGCTTGATGTTGAATCATGCGCTTGGTGATGTGAGGATGAGGTCAAGCCGTTGTTGGAGAACATCACGTTTGAGGCGCAGCTGGGTGGTTTGTGAGAGTCTCCTAGAGGTCCTAGAGGTGCTAAAGTCACTTTTGGGATTGGCCCGAGCTGTCCTGCGTTGACGAGGCTTATGTGAAGCGCATGGGCGAGTGGCAAACCTGGGGTGATGAGATCTGCCTCAAGCGCCTCGCCGGCAACCAGGGCAGGTCGGCGCGTGGACGTACTTCAGGCCCTCATTTGGGTTGTGGCCCCGTGTCTCTTCATACAGAATGCAGAATACTGAGACTCAGGTTCGGACTGTTGAAAGTTTCGAGTGTCAGCTTGAGGTTCCTGCCCGACGTGGTGAGGAGGCCACTGCAGGTCTACTCCTACAACCGGGAAAGGCAGGAGCTCTTCGATGCGGGGCTCTACCTCCCCCAAAAGAAGGACCGGAAGAAATCGGGGAAGTCTTAGGGCCTTGGGGATCTTCGGGCTCGGAGTTGGACATGTGAAAAGACGAGGAGTACCAGGGCAGAGAGTGCATCGTCCTCCTCCACAACGGGAAGTTCCGGAGCTCAGAAATTCTGAGACGGGAAGTTCGGTTGGGTTGACCTCTCGTGAGAATCTTGATCCCGGCCTGTAGGGGAGTCATTTCCGAGAAGGGTGGCCTGGGCATGGGTCTGACCCCTGCGTTTGGAGCAGGATGGCTGTACTAGCTATCCCATTTCTGAACTTGCTTTGTCTAGGCTGCTCATCCACAGGCCGTTTTGGGGTCGAACACCAAACATATCTGTCGTGCAGTTATCGTCTGCACGCTTCGCTACCCTACTTGCACAGACTTCAGTTGTGCTTTGGTATCAGGATCTGGACTCATAATGCCGCAGAGGCTTTCAACACATAGCACATCCCAAGCACGAGGTACTCCCAACAGTCCCCACCTCTGAAACACAGCAGACATTCTTCACTTCACTCCAGCAGCAAGTACGACAATTGCGTAAGCAAGATGCAGGTGCAGTCTTGCTTGTTGTCGCTTATGCGCACATCAGGCAGAATCCGCGCATGCACATGGGCACATTCAAAACCTGACTGTAAGCCCTCAACATCCGCAACTTCCTGAAGCCATCTAAAACTCGCTCCAACTTTCACGCTTGAGGCATTGATTCTGGGGTTTTGGGGCTCCCCAAAGCCCCAAAGTTCCGAAGCTCCAACGCCAGCTGTAGGTCTCACTTTGACCTCGTGTCCACTCAATGGCTTCTTGCTTATGAGCAGCGGCTTTTTTCGCAGCGGTGAGCGCAGTCTGCTCCATTGCAGTCTGCAGCCATGTACATGTAAATTGTAGGCTAGGTTGCAGAGAGGCCTGTTCTGGTGCAGCCGCCACAGACCAGTCTCTGCCTTTCGTCGGAGTGTGTACATTTGCGCGCCTTTCGCGCAGGGATTCTGGGCTGAATGCTTGGCAACCTAGGGAACATCTAAACATGATTGATACGCTGGTAGAGATGTTGCAAAGTGCATCACCAGACTTTGCCCACAAGCAGCAACCCAGGACATGTGAATAGGGGCTGCTTTGCAAGCTCTAGATCCGCGGTCTTTGCCGTCAGAAATTAGCGGCTGGTGCTGAGTTTCAGCTCGCACGTTAACGATCTCGTTGCACCTACACTGCGGAAGTAGGTCGATGCGAAAAGTCAGCAGTTCTCCATCTCTGATTTACTCAACCATATGCCAGATTGCCATTTGCTCAGCTGTCCCGCGCCCCCAATGGTGAACCCTCAGCCTGAGAGCCCGTCCAGTCTTTGAGTCGTTTCTTCTCTCAACCAGCACTGGTAGACGGACTGCCACGCATCAGTTGTGGCAGCGGATCTTGAAACCTCAAACGGTGACGCTTGCCAGTTTCGGAAAGGCACGCGAGAAGGCGGCGACCGCCATCCAGGCTGTTCCGGTGGTATTTGCACCTGATATGCGTAGGATATTTCGTGGGACCCTGAGTTGCAAGCAGATGCCGGAAGCTCACAAAAAATGTTGGGCAACACGAGGTGACATCTTCTCCCCCCAAGGGGGGCTTCAGGGTACAGCTGGACCATGGCCAGCTGTCCATTTTGGGGGAGTGTGGGGTGGCTGTGGGGGCTGTGGTGTGGTTAGGCAGCGTGTGAGTCAAGTGTGTGTGTGTTGTTTCGGCAGGTGGCCTACCGCAACTACCGTGAGACCGCCGAGGTTGTGGCAAAGGCTGTCTGCAGGGTGCAATTCGGGCTAAACCCCTATAAACCGCTTTAAGCCCCCTTTAAGAAACCTTTACTAGCCCCCAATAAACTGTATTAACCCCCATAAACCCCGACTAACCCCTATAAATCCCAAGTCTTACCCCCTAGAAGCCCCATAAAACCCCCAATGAACCCCCTTTAACCCCCATTAAGCCCTTATTAATCCCTATTAACCCCTATTAACCCCTCGTAAAACCCCCCAATGAACCCCCCTGGTAACCCTTATGTTCCCCAAAGATCTACAGACGTACCTGGAAGGGCGGGGCGTCGCATCTCCAAAGCGCAGCTCCCAGCGAGCCCGAGAGTCTTTTGCAACATTTTTGCAAGTTGTAAAGAACACATAAAGGTTTTAGTAGGGACTTAACAAAAGAGAGTTAGAATACATAAAGGTTTTAGTAGGGGCTTTATACGGGTTTTGTAGGGTTGATAGGGTGAAAAGGAGTATATACGGGTTGATTGGGGCTTATCGGATTGACAGGGCTTATAGGGGTTGCACGGGTGCAGCAGCTTTTCATGCATGCAATTCAGGTACTGCGCGGTAGTAGGCGCTTCGCGCTTCTGACACACGGAGAGGCTTTACGCACCCATTAGCTTTACAAAAACCCATCGTGGGCTTACACGGGCTATATTGCTCATATCATGGACTTCCCTAGCTTCTTCCAAGAATGGCGCTGTACAACTTGTTGCTGATAACCCTACATAAAACCCTCGAATTCCTAAACCCCTAACAGCCCGCCATAAACCCCTAGAAGCCCCTATTAAAAACCCTGTGCCCTAAACCCTAAACCCTAAACCCTAAACCCTAACCCCTAAACCCTAAACCCTAACCCTAAAGGCCCTAAACCTTCAACCCTAAACCCTAAACCCTAAACCCTACGTAAGCCCTAAGCCCTAAGCAAAACCCTGTAAAGCTCCATGAACCCCCGAGGCCCTCCGCCAGCGCCCCTCTCTGCGGAGCGCCTCCTGAGCGCAGCCAACGTGGTGCCCGACTGAGTTTCAGGGGCTCGGGACAGCTTCGGGGTTTGAGGGTTTTAGGGTTTTCGGGTTTATGCAAGATGTCATCGGACGTCCCATGCGAGAAGAACGCAAGAGATCCTTCGCGAAGAAGTGAATTATCAATTGACTGCAGAAAACTAAGAGATCACCGCCTTCGCTGCCTGTGGCGTTGGCAGTATAAATTCCACACAACTTGTGGATCCACAACTGGCAAAGGGCAACTTTGAAAGACATTAGCTGGAGGCGAGTACGGCCGTTTAACGGTTTTCGGTTTTAGGGGTTTGGGGTTTCTGAAATTTTGGGGTTTCGGAGTTTCAGGGTTTGAGGGCTTTAGGGTTTCTGGAGTTTTGGGGCCTTGGGGTTTTGGGGTTTTGGAGTTTGGGGTGTTTAGGGTTTTGGAGGTTTAGGTTTTGGGGTTTCAGGTTTTTGGGGTTTTAGGGCTTTGGGGTTCGTAGGGTTTTCGACAATACACCTCCACCGAAGTTTTTAGGGTGTTGTGGGTTTTTAGGTGAACCCTTCAGGGGCTACAACTTTGAGAGAGAGAGAGAGAGAGAGTGGCGAATGTTTCCTAAGCCTTAAACCCGAAGGCCCTGAGTCCCTCCTTAGCTCAGGTAGCCCCAATCCGAATCCAAATCATCCTGATGCGTGTCATGGCCCTGGGCTTCTCTCTCGCAGGTTCGCAGCGTTGTGCGGAGCTATCAAGCCAAGGCAAGGCTTGGCTGAGAGCATGGCAGGGTCTATAGGGTCTGTAGGGTTTTGTAGGGTATAGGGTTTAGGGTTTGGGGCTGAGGGTTTAGGGTTTAGGGTTGCAGAAGGTTTGTTGAAAGTCGGGCTTTTTTTCGGGGGTTTGCCCAGATGCGATCTCTCTCTTGCGAGGTGCTCCTGGCATCTTTGGAGTCAGAGCAAGCGGAGCTGGAGCGTATCCAGGTGGGGGTTGCAGTCTATCTACATTAGGGGGCGCACCTTTGGTGAAAGGGGCCCTTCTTGCCACGAGAGTGCAAGTGAAGGTATTCGTAAGAGGTGCCTTTCGATTGGGTCGTCTTGCAAATTCTGGGTCTGGAGTCTTGAGGGCTGGAGAGTTGCGAAGGTGGCCGCGGCGAAGATCATCCAGTCTGCCGTTCGATGTTTCCAAGTGCAGCGACAGCTCCAGGACTTTGCGGACATGCTCCGTGGTTCACTGCTCTGGCAAGGTGCGTGCAGGCGCTTCACGGCGCAGGCTGCGCTTCTCAAAGCCTGGGACACCCACGAGAGGCAACGGGTTGCCGCCGCGGTGAAGCTGCAGGCGGCGCAGCGCTCATTCCGGGCTCAGCGCGAGCTCGCGCGGCGCAAGGCCATGCGGGATGGCTTGCTGCTCTTGGGACCAAAGGAGCACCAGTGCGTGCGCCTCTTCCAGCGTTGTGGTCGCCGCTACCTGGCGTGCTTGGTCGTCGCGGAGGCGGAGAAGCACAGGTGGCGCTGCGCCCGGCATATCCAGGCGCACTGGCGAGGATGCAAATGCCGGCGCGAGCTGGCGGACACGCTCTCGGAGTGGCGGCGGCGGCGGAACCTTGCCGGGAGCCCAGACATGTGGAAGTAGCAGACACTACAATTGCATTCCGAAAGCCAGCTAGCTGGAACCACAAACCATATGCAAAGCACGAGCATTGCCATACAAGTAGAGATAAACGTTTTTACAGCACGACCACCTCTCGGTCCGTCCCTCTCTTTCTTTCTGGCCTTGCTAACCTTTGCACGCCAAAAGGAAGAATTTTTCAAGCATCGAAGAGTCCCCCGCAAGCCCCCTCACGTCCCACAGCTTAGGCTAGAACCCACGATGGCAGCCATAAGAGAGAGCCTAAACCTCAATCTCGCCCCCATTCCATCTCTCGCGGTTGCACTTGCAATCGAAGATCTTGAGTGTATATCAGAAAGAAAGAGGGAGCTGCCATAAATAGATAGAAACGGAGCGGTCAAGGTTCATGCCTCGTGCCTCTGCTTAGCGAACAGATAATACCCAACCACCTAAGCGAAGGACAGGGACTTGCGGCATCTTGGCCATGATGGGCTCAAGACGTAGGCAGATGTAGGTAGAAGTTGCAAAGGATCCTCGATGCAGAAGGAGGCTGGTCCTGACGAGCGCTGTGCGCTGCAAGCGACGCTGTCCTGCATCAGCGATGACGAGAGGCTGGCGTCTCAACCTGCATTGCACTTTGAAAAAAGTGCTGCGTCGTACAGCATGTTGTGCCCTGCTAGGCAGTTGATTCTGAGCTTTGTGCTGGGGGACCTTACGTGCTACCCTCGTGTGGCCGCCATCGACAGTCGGTTCTTCCTGGCATGCACTGCCTTGGGTTCCTGGCAAGACCCTTGGCCCAGAGGCACTTCCTTGAGAAGGTGTCAGAACTCAGCCAGAATCACAATGCAACCCAGACCCAGCTCGGGTAGACTCCGACAGATGCTCCGTCTTAGTTCTTTTGTTTGAAAACCATGCAAGGAATGCGTCATCGAGATTCCTCGCGCGTGGACTGCTAAAGAGGACCGAGGTAGCCTGTCGTTCTGCCGGCTTCGGCTCTACACGGAACATGTGCCCGCCGGACAAAGTACGGACACAGCACAGCCTGAATCATGATAAAAAACACAGGAATAAATAGGAATAGTACTAGTGACAAGACTAACAGCAATACGAATGGAGGCAGTAAGATCAGTATTCGCAACATAAAAAAACAGCAACAAGAATAGCGACAATGAGAAAAGTAACATAGTAGTAACAGTAGTAGCCAGAAGCACAATAGCAATAATCACAACTATTAACGGTGATGTCATAATGACAGCCGTACTAGCAATACTAGCCGGAAGAACCATGACTACCATAATAGTGAGAATCACAATAGTAGCGAAGAATAACAGCACTAGCAGCAATGATAACGGTCCGACGCGACGTATACTCACGCCGCATTGTACCCAAGAGTCCGGAAACCACAGAGCACGTGGCCAACGTGTACGAATCGGACGCAGATGGTGCCATTAGCGGAAGCAGGAAGTGCTCTCAAATCTTGCTGATGTTTTGCGTACTGTAGAGATGATCGTACGAAGTGCCGCACGGGATGATGTTTTTCGCAAGCTTTCGACGCGCTCGATGCAATTTCGCGGAACATTCGGACACAATCATCGTGCGGGCATGGATGCTCTGGCCAATGGATGCGCTGGAAACATGTATGTAATCATCATGCAGGCACGGATGGCACGGATGCTCTGGCCATTCAGACACACACTGGAAACGCGGACGTACTCATCATGCGGCTATGGAAGCCTGCGAAGATTCGCTAGTAACCGAGGTTTTCGGCATGTGACATGCGAAGAGCACTGCAAATACCGATGTTTTCTCCGTGTCCGCCGGTGCAGAAACACTGACGCCACCGATGTTTTCAGCATGTCAACCGCGCAAGCCTCGTAAATTCAGCAGTGGAAAATGACAATAATCCCAGACAAAATCAAAATGAATATTGTCATTGCAGGACTTGACACAATCACAACAAATGACGAGTACGACAAAACGTAATCTCCACATTATCCATATGAATCAGAATCATCTTCATTATCCGAATAGTCTTCCTAATCTTCGCAACCTTGAGAACGTTAATAGTCTTTGGATAGAAAGGTGAACATCGTAGTTATCAGCACTCATGGTATCCGTAATGCTCACAATACTCAAAAAATCATCACCGCAAGAAGTCGCCAGGTCAATGGTCGATGAATAGCAATGACAATCTAGCACACAGCAACAAACACATAAACAATAAAGAGAACAAAGCAACAGCACATAGTAAGCAGATTAAACCAATAAGACAACAGAACGTAACATGAGCCATGTGAAAAACAAACGGAGGAGTGCGTGGAGCAGCTCGTGAAGCTGGCCGGCAACGTGGCGCAAGCGGGTCTTAAGTCTTGGGAGACTGGGCCTTCTCTGTGGCATTGCTTTGCTTCTTCGGCCCGTATGACGGAGCCAACTTGTATACGTGTGGGGGCGAGGTATATCGGGGCATGTGCTTCATGTCCTTGACTGTGCACAGCTTTGTTCAGCAAGCAGCCAACCCGACTGGGCACTGGCCGCGATTCAAGTTCAAGCCCTCGAGATTCAGGCACTCGTGCACTGGCGGTTCAAGCACGCATCCTGATTCACTCATTCGTGATTCAAGCACAAATCCCCGTTTCGAGCGCTGTCGATTTTGCACCCGGTGTTCAGGGCTGAGGGTGTTTTTTACGGATTAGTTGTTTCAGGGTTGAGTCCTTTTTGGGATTGCGGCTTTTCGGGTTGAGGGTTCTTGGGGGTTTAAGGGTTTAGGGTGAGGTTTGCCGGGGTTTTGTGCAAGGCGTCTCGTGCGGCCTGGGTTTTTTGAATGGATTTTCGGCTTTGGGGTTTGGGTGTCGGTTTCGTTTGGGGAGTTTGGGGTCGACTTCGCGCGCCAGCATGCAAATCGGGTGGTGCGAAGCCGCCTCGTTATGCCTCGTTTCTGCGTCAATGCGCGAGTCCGACGCGCGCCTGTCCGCCGGCCAGTGGGCGGATGGACTTGTGCGCGTATCGGTCTTTCCAGTGCCCTGATCGCTTTCCTACCAGAACCCGAAACACCAAACCCAAGACCCGAAACTGAAATCCTAAATCCCAAAAAGCGTAAAAGCCTAAAGCCCCCAAACCCCAAACCCCAAACCCCAAACCGCTAAACCCCCAAACCCCAACCCTAAAACCCTAAAACCCTCAAACCCAAAAAACCCTAAACGACCCCAAAACCACCCAAAAAACCAAAACCCCAAAACCCCAAAACCCTAACACCCTAAAAGACCCTCCAAAACCAAACCCCAAAACCCCCAAAACCCCAAAACTCCAAAACCCCCAAACCCCCCAAACCCCCCAAAACCCCCAAAACCCCCAAAACGCCAACCCCCGAAACCCCAAAACCCCAAAACCCCAAAACCCCAAAACCCCAAAACCCCAAAACCCCAAAACCCCAAAACCCTAAAACCCTAAGACCCAAAACCCCGAAACTCCAATTTAGCCAAGGCAGCTGGCGGCTGGCGCAGAAGGCAGTGCTCCCTCCGTTCCCCCAGCGGCGGCTACTCCAGGAGCCACCGGTCCCATAAAAGAAATAGTTCCTTGTTTGGTTCGGGTTTAGGGTTTAGGGTTTAGGGCTTGGGGTTTAGGGTTTAGGGTTTAGGGTTTCGGGTTTCGGGTTTCGGGTTTAGGGTTCAGGGTTGAGGGCTTGGGGTTCAGGGTTTAGGGTTCAGGGTTTAGGGTTTAGGGTTCAGGGTTTGGCTTCCAAATGGGCGTGACATTCAAAAGCGTCTTGGCAGCGCCTCCGACCCTCAACGCTAAACCCTAAACCATAAACCCTAAGCCCTAAGCCCCAAGCCCTAAGCCCTAAGCCCTAAATTGCTGAAGTTCTGCAACAAACTCACCGGCATGTCGGTCAGCAAGGGTTTCTCACATGGTGCCGTGAGCTTTTTTTTTTTTGTTTCTGGGGGGGGGGGGGGGGCGAGGGGTAAGGGCCCTCAATTTGGGAAGTGCTTAGTGCCTGTATTCTCCCTCTTGAGGGTTTCATAGGGTTTTAAGGTTCTTTTGTGGTGTTGGGTTTCGGGTTAGGGTTGTAGGTTCTTTCTGGGCTTCGGCTTCAGGGATTTGGGGTATTTGGGTTCAGTGCAGAGGAAACCTGCCCAGAGACAGGATCAGCTGGCGAAGGAGTGCCCGCAGCTGACTTTGGCCGCTTTAGGAGAAGGACTCGGAGACCCGGGCTTCGCTTGACGTCAGTGGGAGCTGAGTAGATGCTTGCAGAGCCACTGCAGACCCAGTAAAAGCCCTAGAAGCCTACACCCTCTGCTCCTCAGGACCCTACATGCTCTTCGTTATGGGCTGCAACTTACCCATCGGGGCACGGATGTCACTCCACTTCTTTGAGCCTCGATATCGGTGGATGTGCCGCAGGCTTTTTGCAGGAGAGCCACCTTACATGTGCCTCGAGTGCAAGACGTCTAAAGTGGTCCGATCATTAGGACGTTTAGAACATCCACAGAACTCCAAGTCCACCTTCAAAGGTTCGGATTCGTGACCCACGGCCGAGCCAAAGAAGGTTCGCGGGGTCTGCTCTGCCAGGCCACAGAGTCTCAGACAGCAGAGGGGGCAAAGTAGTGCGCCGAGGTTAGAGCAATTCATGGGCTGTCATTCCCACGATTTTCCGAGGATTGGGCCACCAACACCAATGGAACCTATGATGTTCACATCCGAGCAGAGGCTGCCTTTAACCTGACGGAGGTCTGGTACGAGGCGAGGGTGCTTTTCAGGGTTGGTGAGAAGAACAAAGGGATCAAGGGTGACCTTTGTGGCAAGGTGTGGAGGTTGTGCTCTCTGCCGCAGAACAACCGAGTGAGCTCTAAACCCTATACTTTAAAGCCCAAACCCGAAACCCAACACCCCGAACAAAAAACCCCTAAACCCTAAACCCTCTAGCGTTTGCGGAACTGAAATTTGCTAGATTTTCCAAGACCACGCGTCATTGGCAAGGATATTCCTCACAGCTCTCCTCTTGCCCTTGGGTTCATCGACGTCATCTCCCGCGTACCACCTGTGCGACAACAGCCTGGAGGCAGGGGGGGGGGGGCCGAAACGGGCGAAATGGGCGAAAGGTCGCAGAAAAGAGTGTGACTTTTGTGAGCCCACGGAGTGGCTTATACTCTGTGCATCTTGCCATGCCAGGCCCAGGTGGAAGGTTAGGAGATCTGAAAGGGAAAAACTCTTCTATTGTTCATGCAGCATTGGTTCAGCTTTGGTGCGATGTTCTCTCACAGGTGGAAGCAGCCCGCGACTGCTGTCTTCCAGGCCTGGGCACAGTCCTGCGGCTGCTTGTTTCTGAAGCGGCTTGGTGGCGGCTGTTCGTCTGAGATCCATTGTGCTTGGGCCGGAAGGAGCTCTGGACGACGCTGCTTCCCACTTTCACTCCGGAGATGGCTGTCAAACCTGGGGACCTGCTGTCCGCGCCGAATATACAGCCCGTAGTTTCCCGTTCGAGCCGAGCCGACCCGTGGCGGGAGAGTGTACATACCCTAGTAGAGCTCTGAAAGTCCATCTGACTCGAATGTAGCGTGCATAAGCCACACGCGACACTTTAAGCATAGAAGTGGTACCTGTGTACCAGCGCGAAGGCTCCGACGGGCCCAAAGTGTAGCATTCTCTTTTACTGTTGCCATTATAGCAGATCCGGCAAACGTTCAAGTGAGCTGAGCGGGACAAAAAGCCTTCGACAACCGGTGGGTGCAGACGGGCTCAGTCAGCATAACCGAAACCTCGAGAATCTCTGTATGTGTGTGTGTGTGTGTGTGTGTGTTTGTGTTTTCCCTTCCCTTTATCCCAGCGAGAGGAGCTTCACAGTTGCTGAGGCAGCCAGCCGCCTGCAATCCTTTGCACGGGCCATCCAGGACAGGAAGAGGCCGCTCCGACACAGCATCCCACAGGTCCGAAGAGGAGAGCAGCATCCTGTCAGATCCAGTTGCAGGTTCCGAGCTGCGAGGCTCCAGCGCGATGCTGCAAGCCAGTGGGTCTCCAGCTCAACACTTTCAGATCATTAACAGGGTTTAGGGTTTAGGGTTTAGGATTTAGGGTTTAGGGTTTCGGGTTTAGGGCACCAAATTTACCAGCCATGAGCAGCCCTTCGCTTCAGATTCGTTGGATCGGGGCATCAAGTCTTCGCGTTTTACAGGGTTGCTGCCTGCGCTTCAAAAAAAATGCCGACCCACGCGACCCCCCGACCTTCTCCATTTCCTGAGATCCAAACGGCCTGGCGGCGCCACGAAGCCTGCAAGATCTCGAAGCAACTCAGAAGGAGGCCAGCGAGGGGGGGGGGGGAGGACTAAACCTTCGCTCTGTCTAGCGGAGAGGTCTCGTGCCCATGTCCATCCCAACAATGTGCTTAAGAACCCCCTGACAGCTTCAAATTGGAATTATATCATAGTTGGGCAGTGACATTAATCAATGTTGGCGTATTGCGCCAAACCTGGGTTGAATTTGCTTCCCACTTCCCAGCCTGAGTCCCATGCCTGACAAAGAGGCGCGCAGAGCTGCGAGCCTGCGTGCGATTGCAGCGTGAGTTTCGGGGCCACGCTGTGCGCCGGAGCCTGCGGCCAAGCTGAGAGCAGGGCAGTCAAGCTACTACTACCATCGTGTTTATTAGTAGAACTATTGAGTTATTATTGCAAGTCTTATTTGCGCTGTTAACCTGCTAGGGTTTAGGCAGAATATCTCAGCCCTTGTGGTTTTGAAGAAAGCATTCCGACTGCCGTGGTTGGGTCCAGGGCTAGCTGGGAGGTCTTGAGGTTAAGTAATGAGTACCCACTTCATTGCAACCATGATTGTCAGAAAAATAATAGTAGTAACGTAGTAAAAACTAGTAATCATTATTTCCCGACTTTGCCGCAACGTGACCTCGACCGAGTGACTTTGCATGCAGCTCTGCCTTAGCCTGTGACCTACTAATCATCGATGTATACTCATGTTGTTGCTCCGGCTTTCCTTGTCCTCTAGGAAAGTTTCGCGGAGAGGGGTAAGTACAGATCCCCGGCATGAGTTGGATAGTGCTGTTTGTTGTGGCAGACCTCTCTCCGTTCAGAGATGAGGAAGGCTTGCCACTCTGGATGGAAGATGCATCGCCTGTCTTCGCCTGTTCGCAGATGAATATATTGATCCCCCGAAACTCTAAACCCTAAACCCTAAACCCTAAACCCTAAACCCTAAACCCTAAACCCCTAAACCCTAAACCCCTAAACCCTAAACCCTAAACCCCAAACCCTAAACCCTAAACCCCTCTTCATCTCTGAACAGATTTCTAGAAGGCACCGGGCCTGCCCTGCGGAGAAGGCAGCACGCAGCTGCTCGTGGCACCCTCGGGTTGTGATGTAAGCAGTTAGCAAGGCGTCGAAGAGCCGAGTCGTGACACATGGGTTAGGTGTTGTTAGGTTCAGAGTGTTCGGAGGAGTAGATGCCACGCTTCAGTGTGGGCACAGAAAGGAGAGGGGAAAAGCGGAGACATACCGATAAGCCCATACGCCGCTCCGATACCAGCGATGCACCGACCGAGTGTCCCGGGCGCGATCGCCGCTGGACTGGGGTGGCAAGAGATCTGCGTATCGGCGTAGGTCGGTTTTCGCCCTTCTTTGCATCCACGCTGCTCAATGCTTGAGGACCCAGGCCTGCCAGGTACTTGTGGGATGGGGAGGCTATCGCAACCAAAGGGTTCCAGGCCTCAGACCATTGAGCATACGTAGAGCGACGCTCCATGCAACGAGATGGGTTCTGACATCCTCAGCAACGCGCGTTCCGCTCGTGGGATTCCTCAACGTGCCATGCATTGGTTTGCAGCCCGCGTTGCTTGCGCGGGGTGCCTCTGCGCGCCATTGTTTTTGGTCCCGGCTCTTGTTTGCTCTCACGTCCTGCGCAAAGCGGAAACGTCATGTTTCAGATTCCGCGTGGCCGTTCATTCTTCTGCTGTTTCGCTGATGGGGCCACCAGTTGCAGCAGGTTGTACGGTGGCACGGCACTTCCAAGCTTGGGCTTCCCTCACCCATCTCAAGCTTTCGGTGTTTAGAGGGGGCTTGAGAAATACAATTGTTGTTCAAGGTTGTTACAAGATATCTGCAGATCTTTGCAGTGTATGCAGGATGTTTTCCGAAATTCTCTGGGTTCTTGGGCGCATGGTCTTTTTGCGTGCGCCTGCGTCGAACTTCCTGTGCCCAAGGCATGCAAGGGATGGCACGAATTCGACAGGCGAAGCGAGAGGCCAGAGAAGCGTTGTGCTGTTTTCTTGAGGGTTTCGGTGGTATCCACGGGCTAAGTTCGACAGTCCCAGCTGGGCCGCTAGGGGGGTTTTGGCGGCGTGGGTCTTAGTGGGAGTTAGTTGGGAGTTCTTTCGTGCAGGTGGAGCTGCTCCGAAAGGAGCTGGAGCTGCGACGGGAGGCCGCGGTCACGAAGATCCAGAGCTGCATGCGACTTTGGCAGCATTGGCTTTTCAGTGTAGTGTAGCGGCCTGCTCGCACCTGGGACGCTTATGAGGTCTTTCGCTTTTGTCTTCGGAGGTTTCGTGAAGTTTGATCTTTCTTGTTTTGTTTCACGGTCACCGTTCTTGGGCGGCAGCTCCTTTGACGGGTATGGCGTTGCACCGCAGGCTTCTCTTGCTTGGGCAGAACATTAGGCTGCCTACTGCAACTGGTTATAAGTTGCCATTCCCCTAAACCCTAAACCCTAAGCCCTAAGCCCTAAGCCCTAAGCCCTAAGCCCTAAGCCCTAAGCCCTAAGCCCTAAACCCTAAACCCTAAACCTCGTGAAAAACCTCCTGCATCCTGCCGGAAAGTTCCTGAGAAGAGCTCAGGCGTGGCATGGTCACACGGAGGTTGGTCGTCACCCCAGAGCTGCCACAAGTCGAAGCCCTCAGTATTCATGTTCTTTCATCTTCGAGAGAGTTCCCACATACCCTAAACCCTAAACCCTAAACCCTAAACCCTAAACCCTAAACCCTAAACCCTAAACCCTAAACCCTAAACCCTAAACCCCTAAACCCTAAACCCCTAAACCCTAAACCCAAACCCCAATGAGAAAGCTGCCGCCATCCTCCGTTGCACCGAGGTGCAGCCGCAAATTACTTTCCGCCGCTTGGCGGCCTGGGGCTCGGAGACCAGCACCGGAATGACTGCCGTGGCACTTCCTTTTTTCGGGTGTCGGGTTTAGGGTTTAGGGTTTCGGGTTTCGGGTTTAGGGTTTAGGGTCTCGGGTTTAGGGCTACAATGCGGCTGCAGCAGAGTTAGGGTTCAGGTTTTCGGGTTTAGGGGCAACACTGCGGGGAATGCCTGCAGCGCCACTCCCGTTTAGGGTTTCAGGTTTAGGGTTTAGGGTTTAAGGTTTCGGTTTCAGGGCTACAAGGCGGCTGCAGCAGAGCTAGGGTTCAGGGTTTCCGGTTTAGGGCCTGCAATGTGGCTAGCAGAGTTAGGGTTTAGGGGCTACAACGCGGAAAAAGCAGAGTTAGGGTTCAGGTTTTCGGGCTTAGGGCTACACTGCGGGGAATGACTCAGCAGCACTCCCTTTTTGGGTTTCGGGTTTAGGGTTTAAGGTTTCGGGTTCAGGGCTGCAATGCGGCTGCAGCAGAGCTAGGGTTTAGGGTTTCGGGTTTAGGGGCCACAATGCGGTTAAAGCAGAGGTCATCCGGATGCAGGCCTTCTTGCGTGGCGTCCTCGGGCCTCGGCCCCAGACTTCGACTGAGCCCTCGCCCCAGAAACGTCAACAAGTCTGACTCCCTATACCGTAGTTGTAAGGATTCCGTGAAAACAAGTCGAGACGTCCCCTTGATGATAGGGTAGTGATAGTATTACGGGCCCTTGTTGGGTGGCCATTGCAGCGTCTTTTGAAAAAAGGGGGACTTCTCAGTTCACTCCGAGCCCCGAGCCATGGAAGACCAAGTCAAGTCCAAATCAGGCGAGCGCGTGCTCGCATCCTCAAGCGGAACCGGGCAGCCGTCAAGGCCGGGCCTCCCTCCCCAAGGAGACCACCCCGAGCCCCCCCTTACGTACACAAACGTTCCTTTATGCTTTTTGTTGGGGGGGGGCCTCGCAACATCTCCTATCATGGCTACCTGCAAAAGAGGCCTCGTGTTAAGTGGAAACTCTGGTGCACCTTGCCCGATGCTTGGCAGGTCCCAAAGGTGTGCTTCGGCTCAAGCGTTTCTCTCTCGCGAGGTCCCTTTTCTTGCAGTTTGCATTCATGGCGCATGTCTCTCAGCTGAATCGGCCCGCCAACGCGGCGGGGCCTGTGGTCGCCATCTTCAACGTGCCGCTGATCGGCCACGTGAACCCCACCTTCGCGTTGGTGCAAGAACTCCGAAAGCGCAGCTGCAGGGTGCACTACTTCCTGCCACCCGTTGCCCCGATCCGCGACGCTGCCGTCGAGTCCGGGGCGGTCGTGGAAGGCCTTCTCCCAGAGGATCCGGCAGACTTCGAGATGGACAAGTGTTGCGTCGACGGGCTGTACCCCAAACACATTTCGGAGGAGGACCGGGCCCTTTATCCTGTCTGGAACCTCAGCACCATCCTCAAGTGTGGGGAGTACGTCCTCGAGCGTTGTCGCCAGATTGGCGTCAGGGTTGTCCTCTACGACCCCTTCGTGCCCCTGGGGATCGTCGTGGCCAGGAGGCTTGGGATCCCGTGCGCTTCCTTGGTCACGTATCCCGGCATGGGGAGCCTGAGAGACATGCTCTCCTTGATGGAGGCTGAGGGCCGGCTCGACGTGTTTGCGGAGGTCCGCAAACCGTATGGCAAAGCCATCCGGGACAAGTTTGGCGTGGACCTGTCTTGCCATCTCCTGACCCGGCGCCAGTACTTCGCGAAGACAAACTTTGTTGCCACTTGTGAGGATCTGGTCGCCGAGTTGCCGGCGCCCGGCGAGCAGAAGTGGGCCGACGAACTGCGCGCCAACTTCAGCTTCACCGCAGTCGGCTGCCTGGTTAGCAGCTCCGCGCCTCATGTCAGCACGGTGGGTGCGCTTCCAGCGCACGGTGCCGGCTCTGCCAAGAGCTTTGGCAACTCTCTGCCCACTGCAGAGCTGATGGATCACTTGGCGGAGGGTCGGAAGATCATTTATGCGTCCCTGGGCACGATGGCGCTGTTAGATCGGTGGAGTATCGACCTCGGCCGACTCAGCGGATGCAACCTGCCCCTGGGAACCACCGGCAAGGCTTTCTGCCAACACGTGTGGAAGGCTCTCTTAGCAGCCTTGGAGGAACTTGGCGACGATTACTTCTGTGTGCTACCGGTGGGCAAGCAGCCAGATGCGTTGGACTTCCTTGGCAGCAGTAAAGAAGAGATCTCCAGGCACCTGCCTTGCAATGTACTGGTCCGCGAGTGCGTGCCGCAGGTGGAGATGCTGAACCGCTTCACCTCCGTCTTCGTGTCACATGTCGGGTTTAACAGCCTCCAGGAGAGCCTCATGGCAGGTGTGCCCATCGTGGCCATCCCGCAAGCTGTGGACCAGCCTGGAAACGCCCGCAAGGTGCAAGAGCGTGGCTGGGGCCAAGCCTTCTTCAAGCCCATGAAGACATGCACAGCAGCGAATTTAGTGGAAGCCCTGCGCCTGGTGAGTGGTGGGGCCAGTTACCGGCAGGCGGTGCAGCGCGCCAGAGCCGAGCTTGCGGGAGGCGCACCGCGACTAGCCGAGCGGCTGGTGGCGATGGCGAAGGAGACGGATCAGAAGCGCGCAGACGGTAGGGCCAGTAGGGCCAGTAGGGCCGGTGGGGTTGGGGGTTTGGGTTTGTGGTTTCGGCTCTGGCTTTGCGTTTCTGGCAGGGTCTAGGGGGCGACGCGAGGGGGCCCAAGCATCGACTTGAGCACCTCGGTTCTGGTTACATTCTGTACAGGGCAGGGGCTTCTCCACACCTCGGGCAGGTGTAAAGTCTGTAAAGTGTACAGAACGTGTCCTGCAGGCTTGAACAGCCTCCACGCCCTGCCACAGGGATACTGAGGCCCAGCCGACGCACGGGAGATGGCTGGAAAATGGCAGGGCACCAGGTTCGGGGCTGGGCCCCCGCGAAAGCCTCGTATTCGCATCTCCACAGTGCCGCCCCGTATAGGCCAGTAGCAAAGCGACAGCCATCAACAGAGGAGCAAAGTTCAGGGCCGACAGCCCAATTGCAAGAGCCCTGGGCAGATCGAGAGCTTCTGGCGTGGCGCGCTGGCGAAGGCGGAGGCCATGCGGCTCAGGGCGCGGGGGCCCCGGTTTGGGGAGCCCTGCATGGCTGGCAAGGCTGCTCCTTAAAGCATGCAGTGTGTGGTGTTCAAAATAAGACTTATGGAGAACCGGAGTGGTCTTAGGCTCAGGGTTTTTTTTGGTGGGCTGTGGACTTGTTACGAGATTTTGGGGGGCTTGACAGGCTCTGAACACCACAGACTTGATAACTTTTCACCAACCCCCCACCCCCCCTTCACGCCCCCTTCACGGGCTTAGGGTTTAGGGGTTTAGGGTAAGGCGGTAGGGTTGAGGGTTTTCACGGTTCATGCTGGATGTAGAGTTTAGGGTTTAGGGTTCAGGATTTAGGGCTGAGGTGTTTAGGGTTTTCCCCTCGGTCCGGGTTAAGGCCGTCAAGGTTTCGAGTTTCTGGTTTCCCCTCTTCCCAACTGTGGCCCATGGCGGGTTTAGGTTTCAGGGCTTAGGGTTCAGGGTTTGGGATTGAGGGTTTAGCTTTGGGGTTTCCCGCTCCTTCTCGGTGGTTCGTGGTGGCTTAACTTTTGGGTTAACGGTCAGGTTTGGGGGCGAGGGTATCATGGGGGGGGGGGAGGGGATACGATGGGTTGAGCATGCGGGCGCACATAGACCCGAACACTTTGTATTCTTGGCCATCCTGAACCCTCGCTTCGGCTGAGGCTTAGGTGCGCAGGGGTTTGTGGGACTTGAAGTTTCCTGGTAGCATGTCATTCCCATAGCCGCCACCCAGGGCTGAAGCGAACCGGCTCTTGGACGCCTTGCTGGAGGGCAACATCCCTGCGTCAGGTACTCAGAAACTGCGGCGTCGTCTTTGCCTTTAGGGCTTCGGGCTGAGGGCTTAGGGTGCCCGCTGTCGGAGCGTTGTCCGGAAGAATGACAGCACTGCCGCTCAATAGTCTTACCATGTCCTTGCGTAAACCTTTGAAGTCCGGAATCAAACCCTGAAGCCTGCTAAGCTCCAAGCACGCAGGAACCCCGTTCAAAGGACAACCCCTCCCTCAGTCTGTGGACCTCATACAGTAGCGCGTCGTCTGATGAATCTAAGGGAGTCCTTGCAGTTGGGGGCTTGGGGGGGTTCATCTTTAGGATGCTTGAGGTTCAGGAAGTTTAGGAAGTTTAGTGCACAGGCGTACGGACCCAAGACGCCGCATGAGCGCGAAATGCTTGTCAAATGGTAGGCGATAGGTCACCTTCAACGCACCGTTACGCCACAAAGTCGCCAGGGTGCCGGGCTGTGGTTTTCACATGTCTTAGTTCTCTTTTAGGATCTTGGGCCGTTTGGACAGGCCCCTCCGGAAGGTTTAGGGTTTAGGGTCTATAGGGTTTAGGGTTTGGGGTTTGGGGTGTAGGGTGTAGGGTAACTCACAGCTTGGCAAAGGCTTAGGGTTGTCAGTCTGGAGCAAGCCCTCGGTACCCTAAACCCTGCACCCCAAATCCTTGGAACTCCTCGCTCCCCTTCTTGGGATTCTTCGTCCGCCGAGGGGAGATGGCACGCCACGCACCGCCGCGGGAGCCCGGGCCTGGCTTGGGAAGGTGCGGGTCCCATGGGTCCCCCAAAATGACGGGGGGCCTGAGTTGGGAGGGCTTAAGGGCAGGGCTGGAGCTTCGAGATTTTGGCAAATCGTGCTTCAGGCTCCCTTTTCCATGCTATCCGAGCCGTGTTGCAGGTGACAGCGGCGTTGGAGTGGAAAGCTCAAAACGACGTCGAGGAGGAGGACACTGTTTTTGGTTTTCACTCATGCCGGTCGTCTGGGTATCGAACCGGCCTTCCAAAGACAATGCCGAATCCTAGACTCGACCTAAAGCCCGAGGGGTAAACGCCAACTGGGGCAGGGAACAGGGCCAACGCCCGCGCAGGACAAAGTGCTGCGCTTCCGACGGCAGCTGGCTTTCACCCAGCTTCCGCAGATGCTCTTGGAGGCGCTGTACACTGTCCGTCTTTGGTGTTTTCGGTTCTCTTCTGAAATGCGAGGAGATTGAGATGCCGGAAAGCATCCTCTCCGCGGCCCTCATGGACCGTTCCGTGGCTTGGGCCCTGGTCGAAAGCGAGGTCCAGCTTCGGACCCATATTTAGAGCTGATGCTGGCAACCCCAGCGCCTGAATGCCTGCCTCACTTGTTTCCCCTAGGCCCTAGCCTTTTTGAATAACACACACCTGGCCTTCAACCAGAGTCAAAGGGGCCTCCTTGGGGCCACCTTTTGCTTACTGTCGGTTAGTAGGGAATGGGGGAATGAGGTACCCTATAGGGTATATAATCGGTATATATATAGGGGGATATCGGGTGCCTCATTCCCTCATTCCCTACTAACCAACAGTAAGTTCGAGGCTGCTCTGGGCGTGTGCAAGCGCCGGGCACGGCACCGCATCCGGGCGCTGCTGCAGACGCAGATCTGCCGACACGGCCCCGGCCTCTTTAAAGTGTCATCGACTCCGTGGATCTCCGTAGACTCCAGGGGGCTCAGGGGACTCTGGGGGTTTTCTTCTAGGGGACTCTTGGGGACTCTAGGGGGCTCCGGGGTTTTAGGGTGCGTCTTGAGGGGCTCCTCGCGGTCATCGGGCTTTGGTGATTTTGGTGGAGAGTTGGCATAGGCGGAGAGCTGGTGTTCGACAAGCAGATGTGCAAGTCCCTCTCTGTGGACCACGGCGTTGCGGCCTCAGAGCGGCAGCAGTTCATTGCAGTCAGCCTTCATTTGTTCAAAGTTCGGCTTCTTCAGTGGCTTCTCTCGGCTTAGCCGAGATCTTGAGATAGAAGGGTGAAAGACTCAACCCATCTGCACGTGCACTTAAGAAGAGCACCCTTTCACGGTCCGGAAACGATGCCGCTCAGTCGACATGTCCCCACACCAACTCTCAAGCCCAAGCCGTCCACACCCCGAGTCAGATGCCTTGCAAATGAAACCTCCCATCCGGCCCGCGATCTTCCAAACACCAATGTTCGGGTTTAGGGCTCAAGGCCCAACCCACAAGTTCCAAACCCCTCCAGGCCCATCCAAGCCCATCATCCAAGCCCCTAAAGCCCCCAAAGCCCAAAGCTCCTGCGAACTGTCCATGCCCTCGAGGTGCTGATACGGCTCACGGCGGAGGATGCCGTGCGGGAGGCGATGCGAAGAGCTGGGTTTTCAGCTAGAACAGGATTATCACGTGCTCTTCTGTCCACAGCGCTTATGTCCCATCGTCCCAGCTCCGAGCCTTTCAGCGTCAGATATTGGCTGCCAGTTCTCTCCAGCGATCGTTTGTGACTTCGTGGCGGCAGGTTGCCGAGCTCCTCCAGACTTCCTGGTCCATAGCAGCGGCGCGACGCTCTGCTGCGTGGGGGCCTCACAGGGTTGGGGATTGGGGTGATTGGGGTCATTGGGGGTATGGGTATGCGGGAACTTCCTATGACTTCCTCTGACCTAGGAGAGCTCAAGGCCCAGGAAGTGTAGGGAAATGCATGGATGGCACTTTGCAAAGGTCACCCGCGGGCGCTGCCACAGCTCTCCAGGTGCTGCAGTCAGGCCAGGATCTCTTTCTAAGCCCGGTGCAAGACTGTTTTCAAGTCCTCTGGCCTTCCCTGATGCTTCGCGGTGTGGGCAGCACGGCCGGGAAGGTGCCTTCCAGGGCCAACCGTTTAAAGGTGCTTCTTATCGTGCATGTTACTGTGCTGCACGACAGCTTCTTCAGGCCTGCACTCGCTCAAGCGGAAGCTGCAGGTGGAGCTCTACGCGACAGGCCAAAGGGCACGTGGGACAAGGCTTAAGGTTTTTGTGTGATGTTCGATGTGCTTCATCCTATCCTTACTTTGATGACCAGTGTGAGCCAGATCCCAGGCAAGGGCTTTCAGGCCTCGCTCTCCGCAACTCTAGAAATTGGGATGATTTAACCGGTGATGCTTTTCTAAACATGTAAGCCTGGCATGATGGGCCTCAGAGTCTAAAGAAGCACCAAGCAGAGGCAAAAGCACCCAGCCACAAGACTCGGCGGCTCTGGCCGCCCTTGTCGCCTCTGGAGAGGAGGCTGTGAAGAAGGCAGGGGGCTTTGAGTTGAGAGTAACCCTAAACCCTAAACCCTAAGCCCCAAACCCCAAACCCCAAACCCCAAACCCTAAACCCTAAACCCTAAACATAGCAACAAGCAACCGTTTAACAAGAAAAACCACGACCAGCTGTGTTAAGCAGGCGGCCGAGCGGGCCACCGCCGCACGCGACAAGGTCCTGAAGCCCTTGGAGGAGGACCTCACCGGGCGCTGTGCAGGGCTGGGCCCAAGTTGTGGGGACAAGCTCAGACGATTCAGACGCAGGAGCATGCAGCCCTCATGTCCGAGAGCAAGGCGGTCGCTTCCGACCTTGCTCCTGACATGATGGAATGTTGTTTACCCCCCTCCCAGATCCTGACGCCTTGAGCCCCCCTGCACGACAGCGTTCGGTGGCCCGTGTCCATTCACAGCAACTTTGGTGAGGCCGCCGCTGTGGCCCTGAAGGCTGCCGTCGAGAAAGTCCAGCCCGAGGCGGCTTGTGGGAGCTTGCGCTTTGGGCGCCTGGTAGACTGGCAGACTGTTAAAATTGAAAGACAGGTGGACGCCGTCAAGAGGAAGCATCAAGATGAGGCCAAGCAGGCGCCCGAAGCAAAGAAGACCATGCAGACCAGCTCATGTCTAAGCTCATGTGTATCTTCGAGATGGTGGGCAGGCTGAGGAGAAGCTTCGCGAAGAAAGGAAGCAGAAGCACGAGCAAACAGCCGCAGGGCAGCACTTGTTTGAAGCACCCATTCTGCCTCCGGTGTCGGAGTTGGAGTTGGCAAACCCGTGATATCTGATATCTGATGATCTCGCCAGCCCAGGTCGCGCTTCACAAGATTGCCATCAGCACACAGATTGAGAAGGCCGTTTGCGTAGCAGAAAATCTCCAAACCGTGTAGTATACGTTTCATTGCCGGACATCATGCTCCCTCCCCCCTCCCCTCCTCCATTCAAGCATCTCTGCTTATAACTGTGTCCATCACACCCCTGTCTTGGCAGGAGCGATTGGAGGCTGGCCTTGTGGACAAGAGTAGGCCGGCAAGCTTAGATAGTCCACCCAGACGCAGGCGCTTGCGGCCTGAGTCCCGCCGCATACATCTCCCCATTTTTGCCCTCGGGCTCACCCAGGCCAAAGGTTGCCTGCTACAAGAAAGTCTTCGCGAACGTGAAGGAACTCCAGCAGGAGCTCAAGGCGCCCCCCCACACTTCCCCACGCTTCCCCGCGCTTCCCCCCAAGTGGCAACCGCACAGGCTCTCGACTCAAGGGTCTCAATTCTGGGCAAGTAGTCATGGTGCCAGGATCTGGAGGTCAGCGGGACTGCCAACCGGCAAGGGGCCTAGACATTCCGAGATGTAGCAGTACACAGAAGTTGGTCACTTCGGTTCTTGGACTCTGCTCTTGTTTTCCAGGGTGGCGCAACAGCACCCCTTTGAGTTCCGAAACGGCTCTCAGGAAGAGTCAGGGCATCCTGCAGCACACGCTGCGAGCCCTGGAGCGGCCGCCTCAAAAAGCAGAAAGGGGTCAAAAATGGATAGGAGGGAGGGATATGCAGGGAGAGAGCATCTCTCGGGTGTGCAACAAGTTCCTGCGTGCTTGTGGAAGCTACGGAAGGAGCTCATGCCTGATTTCTCAGGTCCCGGGCGGCCAAGGCAGAGAGTGACGCCAAAGGGAAGGTGCTCTTCGGTGCCTGGTCCGCAGAAAGCGCAGCACGAAAGAAACAGAGAAACCTTAGGGCACGCTTGGCATGAGTCCCCCCAAACTTGAATCTGAGGTGAGGAGGAGCAAGACGTGAAGGACTTCAAACCGAGCTCTCAGGCATGGGGTAGAGTGGCCAGATGGGCCCTCAGCTAGACCCGCTTTTAAAAATCGACTGGGAGGTGCTCAAAAAGCAAGAGAAGAGCGTGGAGCAAGAGGAGCAGTTCCAAGTCCAGCTCGAGTGCAGGGCCCAGTGGGAAGTGTCCTGTCCCAAAGTGTGAGGCCAGTTCTTCGTCTGGGTTCAGCGTTAGCTCCTAACGCAATGTCCGTGTGATGAAGCTGTGTGCTTGGATTGGTATGCCGGTGTGGCCCCTCAGGTCCGAGGTGCAAAGCCTGCGCGCGGACTTAGAAGCGAAAGCCAGCCGCGAGGCTGCCGAAACGAGCATGCCGCCGAAAGCATGCCGTGGAAAGTTCAAGGTTCAAGCATGCAGAAATTCAGAAAGCCTCGGAGAGAAAGAAGCTCTCAGAAGATCTCCGATGCGAGCGCTGCAGGCCGGCAGCCTCGGCGCCCAGCTGCGCCGGGAGGCAGAGGAGGTTGGCCAGGTGCCCGCCGACCTCGAGAAGCACTGTGCCAGACTGTGGGTATTTCGGTTGGTGATGCGCCCAGACACCTTTTGCCAGGCGGCAGCATCTGTGGAACACCGCATCGCCGGCTGGAAGGAGTGGACCAACCCACTCTTCCCTCGAAGACTTAAGGGATGATTTCTAGTCTTTCGTGCTGTTCGGACCTCCCGGTCTCCCGGCGGCTTCTGCCCAACTGGCCCAACTGGCCCAAGAGTCGTCGTACCTTCGCCAGGAGCGGGCGGAGGCTGTTCGGCAGTGGCTCGCAGAGGCGACGGGGAGTTTCGGTTTTCTGGTGAGCCCAAAGCTTGTGCCCCGCTCAAGTCGGGAACAATCTCGAAAGGTGGTGCCGGTCGCAAAGTCTGCAGCGCAGATCGTGTCAGCCGCCGAGTTCATCAAGGTGGGCTGGGCTTCAGTGATTCTCACGATTATCACTGCGGGTTTCGAGAGGTGCCTCACGAAACACCTCGTCTGATCTCGCCTGCCAAATGAGTTAGCCTTGAGACTTGCGTGCGCGTGCCAGGCCTGCCAGGTGCCGCGGCCCCGGATTTTCAAGCGAACCAGCTGTGAAGATCGGTCTCTCCCACTTAAAGGAAGAACATGGGGAAGCACAGTGACGAGGGTGAATCATGGCATGGGATTAATGCTCAAGAAGGTCGCGAGTGAAAGTATGGACCTGGCACACAGACGTATGCAGCTGCTAATCGCCCAGCTTTGTCGTGATACCCCTTCCTGCCATGAGCTGCATGGTTTTAGGACAAGGGCCTCACAAACCTCTAGACCATGGCTTGTGGGAGACTGCACGCACATGAACAGGGGCGTAATGTCGAGGACAAACCCGAAACACCTTGAATTAGAGAGAGCCACGCCCCTCACCTACTTCGCATGCAGCACCAGAATCGATCTCTGGCCAACCTGGCAAAACTGACAGTGCCGAGTTCCACTACCTAGTCCACAACCCTTTCAAAAAAGAGTCTAAAAACGTGAGAGCAATGCGGAGGGACATGTACACGACATCGCAACGTGCTTGAATCAGACTGAATCAGGCCACAAGAATCACAAAACATCACGAGCAGGTCGCTCCTAAACGCCCAAAACCCTCAAAGCCATTCAGCGCCTGTAATGCCCATCATGCCCTGGATCACACTCGACACCAAGGCCCGAGCCCGCCCACACTTACGGCGCTTGCCTCCGGGCGGTGGCAAAGCAGGTGATCTCGCTGGAGGGCCAGGCCATGGGGAAAACGAGACTCAGAACATGGGAAGGAGGGGAGCTCGCCTTGCAAATGCCAACTCTGGCACCAGGATATTCCCGCAAAGTGCCCCGTGGTTCTGTGATGGGTCAATAGATGTTACGGGCTCCGGAACTTTGATATGTCTTGATACGCTGTTTGCATGCAGCTTGTCCAGGCCGAGAATGTTGCCAGAGGGGCGTCCTCGCCGCGCGAAGGCATTCGGTCTCTTTGAAGTTGCCTGCGTGTGTTCAATGTGACCAGGAAGAGTACAACAGCCTTCTTTCCGATATCTGCATGCAGTATTTCCTTTTTAAGGGTTTACAACAAAAAACAACAACATATGTGCTGACCAACTACATTAGTAGTGGAATCCACAACAAAAGTAGTGTAATCCAAGTAAAAGTAGTGTTATCCAAGTGCTGGAGCTTGAATTTATGTGCTGACCAACAACATTTGTAGTGGAATCCATGTGGCCTACACCTTTCGACAACAATATTTGAGCAAGACCACTACTAAACAACAATAAAACTACTCTCAGACAACAACAGACCACCATATTTGGTGGTACACGCCATAAATCAGTGTGGGGATGTGTGCTTGGGATTGGAAAATGGATGCGAATATATGCATCCATTTTCCAAGACTTGAAGACTCGCATTGACAGGCCTCGTGAGCTCTCGACCCTCCGATCCCTTCCGGCCCTGACAGGCGACCTGACGCAGCAACTGCAACGGCTCAAGTCGACCTTGAAGGCTCCTTCATGCGGGTTTTAGGGTTTTCGGGTTTAGGCTTTGGGGGTGGGGGGCTGAGGGCGCAGTGGCTCTTACGTGAGTTCGTTTGTAACAGAAGCGCCCGGGTTGCTGGATAAACAAGGCCCTGCCAACAGGAAGGCACTCAAGAACTGAAGGCCACCTGTTAATTGTTAATTGTTAATTGTTAATTGCTAATTGTTAATTGTTAATTGTTAATTGTTAATTGTTAATTGTTAATTGTTAATTGTTAATTGTTAATTGTTAATTGTTAATTGCTAATTGCTAATTGCTAATTGCTAATTGTTAATTGTTAATTGTTAATTGTTAATTGTTAATTGTTAATTGTTAATTGTTAATTGTTAATTGTTAATTGTTAATTGTTAATTGTTAATTGTTAATTGTTAATTGTTAATTGTTAATTGTTAATTGTTAATTGTTAATTGTTAATTGTTAATTGAAATATAGAACATTCACAGATTAGTATACGCCATTTCTTATGAAATACGCGTACCTGTACCTATTCACAGCCTAGAGCTGGTAGCAAAGGTCTGCGGCTTAGGATGCCCGATCTTTCTAATAGTGCCTCGAAGGACTTGGGATGTCGTATGCTGTGCGAGTCACTGTCACGAATCCAGGGACCCCCCCCAGCCAGGTAGCGAATCACAGACCTCGGGGTATGAGTAAGGGACGCTTTTCGTAGACTAGGGTATCATCAGTCTGGAGATCCCTTAGATTGTTGAGAGGCTTGTTTCGGTTTCAGGGTCTGTGATGTTTTGTTTTTCTAAGTTAAGGCAGCTTCTATCGTTTAGTTCCCATGAGTTTGCGGGGTTCAGGGTTTCTTTAGTTTTTAACTATCATTTGCATTTTCTAACCATGCTTCCATTTTCTCGGGATATGGGTTTCGGGTTGGGTGTTATGGGTTTTCTATCGGGTCGGCAAGCTATGGGTGAAGTATGCTATTCTTACGGGTTCATATAGCATGGGTTCTTCAGGTGGGTCTTAGTATGGGCTAGAAATGGACATGGTAGTTGCTACCTTCTTTTAGGTAGTGTACCCAAGATGGTTTCAGGGCCTGCGGAGTTAGGGTGTTTCTCTCCGAAGCCAGTTCTCACTCCGGGGGCACCACTTTGCGCCCGCTTTGTCTCGAGGCCCTTGGCGAGCTGCGGACCACCTTCCCTGACCTCCCGGATGTCCGGAGCTCGCCGAACGCGGCCAAAGGGAGGTGCCCCCTAACCTCATGTCACTCTGTTGCTCCGGTTTGTGGAGAGTTCGTGTTGCTGCGCTGCCGCTCATTTTGCATTGGGACGTGCTGGGGAGAGAGCAGCGATGTGTTTTTCTTTTCTAGATCATCTCCTTAGTGAGCATGCCTGCTGCTCTTCGAGCCAGTGACCCCCAAACCTTCAAGAAGTCAAGGCTGTCTGCCTGCCAGGAGGCGGCTATACGGCAGGGAGGAAGAGGAGGAGGACGATGCAGAGGCTCTTAGCAGCTCAAATCTTACTAGCTGCTGGCTTGTGGTACTCAGCAGTCAGAGAACATGAGGCCATAGTTGGCGATGCACATGCTCCAAAGACCGCTACGCCGATGGCACATAAAGGGTTCTGTTGGGCATCTCCTGGGTGGCACTCGTTTTTAGAAAGCTGAAAGATGCTCCCTGGAATCCGTGTGCTTGTGAGAGTGGTTTCCAACATCGCGCCCAGCAGGCAAAGCCCGGCAGTGGCAATGGATCGAGGAGCAATTGGGAGGGATGTGGGTTTCATGATCCCAGCCGCCCCAGCCTCTTGCCTCTACGTCCTCTTCCTGTCCCTAGCAGGAGGCCTTCCACTAACGGCCCTCCGCCTCTGCCGCTCTCCGCAGCTGCGGAGGGTGGTGACGAGGAGACGGACACTCCGCGGGAGGACTGGCTAGGGAAGCTATAGATCCTGGAATTTGGAGGGGCTGATGTTGACATGTGTTGACCCCATTGCCCGCCATTCTAAATGGTCAACATGTGTGTGCGTGGGTGGGTGTGACCAAGCTGCACATGTTTCGGAGCCAAGCTAGGCAGTGATCCAGACGAGTCCCAGCTGATCAGCTCAGACTTCCTTCAGACTGGGAGAACAGCCCGAGGTTTACGAGGAGACTGGGACAGAAGCCCGAAGTTAGGAAGGAGCAGCCGCATGGCTAGCCTATCTGCCAGAAACATGGACCCTGCAGGCCAGAAGATCGTCATGTTGGGTTCACATTTCTTGTGGTTGTTGGGTAACCCAAATAAATAGCCCTATCACTCAAAGTTCATCTGAAGAGACTGAGCCCTGCCATGGCTCCCTCCAGTGAGCTGCGGCTTCGCGTGCTCGAGGCCTGGGCTTCAAGAGATCCTGGAACGCGTGGTAAGACGGACCACCTTCCGGCTTCTATCCAGGTAGATTCCGTAAGTGTACGTAGTTGGGCGGATATGCTCGTACATGGCCCTGTCCACTGTGGACGGCGCATGTAAGGGTTCTGAGGTCAACCGACTGCGCCTGCGAGTGGCCGAGCAGGGTGATCCCGTCCCTTGGCCTGAAGCTTTCGCACAGCAGCAGGGTTGGGGTGCACGAATCTGAATGGCCATCGAGCTTCAGGCCAACCCACTAGTGCTGCTCATCCATGGCTGGCCAGAATGCTGGCCGCTCGCTTTGCAGACAAGAGCGCTTGGCCTTCTGGGAGTTTTGGAGGGGTCTCTCAGCTTCGTCGACAGGTTCTCGTGGCGCTGGCAACTTCCCGCACTAGCGAAGGCGCACGAGCCTTTTCAGACTCGGGTTTTGTGCTCGGAGATAGGGGGGAGCTTTCCTCGGACGTTTGCTGCTCGAAAGGGGGGTTGTTATGCCTTCCTGCACGGACAGGCGGGGTATTATGCGGTGGCGCCGGACATGCCGGGCTATGGCGGTTCAGACTCTCCCAAAGAGGTGCTCAGATGCAGCTACTCCAAGTGAGCGCAGCGGGCAGAAAGCCCCTTACTCAGGTCGCCCGCTATGACTCCAAACAGATTGGCCAGGAGACTTGGCAGCGGCTTGGACAGGGATGCGATCCATCTCAAAAGAAAGGAGGCCCATGAACATCACACTACATCATACTGCTGCCGAGGACATGCTGGCACTTCTAGAGGCTTTGGGCAAGCCCTGCTATGCCCTGGTTGGCCATGACTGGGGTGCCCTTCACGTATGGAGCCCTGGCAAAAACCTACTGTGTCTAAGTGCACAGACAAATTTTCGAAGTCAGGAGTACTTGCTACTGATGCAGACTGACACACCCCCGCCCTCCCCCTCCCAGGCTCCTGGGCAGTATGCATCCGGAAGCCTTTCCCCGGCTGCTTGGCGGCATCGGGGATTGGGTGGGAGGAATGTCTGGAGAGCTATGGTTGCTCCATGGTGCAGGCTTTGTGCCATGAGCGTGCCGCCGAACCTCCTCCTGTCCAAGCGACCTCCGGTAGCGAACCTTACTTCCATGCACGGTGACTACTTCAACTACATTGCCTATCACAATGAGTACAAGCGCTACGGAGAAACCTGGCCGGTCGACGATCCCACTGCCGTCTCGGGTCCCGCAGATCAAGAATACGACTCCGATCCGGAAAACTTCTTGCTTCGCTGCTACCTGTCTGGGGCTTGGGGAACATCCCAGGTGAAGGCCATCCCCTTCGAGGCACTGGAGCCTAAGAAAGACTGCAGGGTCAAGAGCATCAGCAGATGAGGCGAAGTATGCCTAAGTAGCCCCCAAAATTAGCCCGTGTAACCAATACGAGGATCCCTAGTAAGGATCCCTCCCGTCCTGCGCTGTTTGCAGGCCGGCCGTAACAAGGATCCGAAGCGTGCCAGCGGTGGATTCCTGGATCGGCTTCCGCAGCCGCGCCCTGGGGCAGCGTGGCCTGCAGCGCAAGTCCTCGCCGGGGCTTTGTTGGGGTTCAGGTGGGTTCGTTTCTTCTCGTTCTTTCTGGCTTAGGGTTGACAGGTCGGCGTACACGGGCGACATTTTGTTGCACATTGAGCCGAGGGTGAACTGAGAGTTTCGCCATATTTCGCCCCAGGCTCGTGTACATGCGGGGGGCGCTGGCATAGTGCTCACCTGTGCTCACCTCATGTCCCTCTTACTCGACTCATGAGCGCGAAGCTGAGAAGATGCGCGAAGTCTCTGAGGCACCTCTGCCCTCATGGCTTCCTCGTCCGGCCCTTGATCGCTTCGTCGACGAGTTCCGCAAGTCGGGCTCCTCATCCAATCCTTCCAGTTGCTACAAACATGTTGAGTTGTTTTGTGTCATTATGTAGTTGAGTAGTGTTGCTGGGTGGGTATGTGCAGCCTATGAATCTTAACATCCCGAGCTCAGGATTTCGTGGAGGGGTCAACTACTATCGCTGCCTAGATCGGAGCTGGACACAAGCGCAGGAGTCTTTGAAGAAAACCGGGAGAAAGGTCCTGTGCCTCGGCTGCTAACCTCAAGCACAACTGGGGGCGGGTGCGATATGCTGCGATATGCAGTGATGGTGGGAGCCGAGGCAACCCCTGCTGTTTATCGCGGGGGAACTGGATATGGTCATCGAAACGAACGGTGGTATGGAAGGTTCGACGGCTGCGCTTCGACGGGCATGTGCCGACCTGCGCGGGGTCGTGTACATTCCGGACTGCGGCCACTGGAACACCCAGGAGAAGCCGCACGAGACCAATGCCGCATTGCTCGGGTTCTTGGCTGCGACGAAGGACTTGAGCCCAGGCCGCCAGCTGCTGAGTAGAGCGGTTGCATTCGCTGTTGCACATGTCTGCTCGTTCACATCGGCCTGCCTGTGTCACTGTGTCGTGCAAAGCCAGGTGCGACGAGCCGGCTCTGAGTCAAGCGACTTCCATGCGCCAAAATGGCGCTTTCGCTCACACTCAGCAGGGCATTGGAAGTTTGTTGCCGAACTTGTCGGCTCGATTGGGCAGTCGCTTGAAAGAGCCGGGGCCAACGTCACATGAATGGGCACTTAACCCTTGTCAATCATTCCTTGTCCAAGGTCACCGAAGCGAGCGCGGCACAGATGTAACACAAAGCGACACAAGGCGTGGTGTCAAGACAATCTTGGTCGCTTTGCAGGACTCAGCCCCGGTGGCGAGTTTTGGGCTCGGGCCCCCGCCCAGCCGACCGCCTCCGAGGCAGTGCCTCTCGGGCTTGTGCTCGTTTGCTCCCTCTCTCTTGCTCTCTCCCTCCCTCTCGCTTCTTCAACGTTCGGCTTTTACTTTGTTTCCATCTGTTTGAGAATGTGGTGAGAAGGCTCCAGAGCGGTTCTATCGGTTCCATTGTGCTGAAGTTTCTGGGGTCTGTGACGCTGTGTGCTGTGGTCCGAGTCATGTAAGGACGAATGCTTATAAAACCGCAGTGTTAACCTTAGCTTCTCCGAGTTGGCCTTTCGCGTGTCGAACCTGCCAACCCGGCCCGAACCCAGAAGTCCCTTGAGTCCTTGCTAACTCGCGCCCTAGATGCAGGCAGGGGGCCGCTGCAGAAGGTGGCTTCAACCTCAGCAGCCCCTGGGCTGCAAAGCATGATGCAAAGCTGTGCTCCAGTCCATGGACGGCCGACATCACAAAGAACACAGAAAGCGCAGGAAGCACAGAAAGCACAGAAAGCACCCTAAGTCAAAAGATTGCAAAATGCGAGATGCGACCTCCACGCTGGCGGAGCTGGGACAGGGCCTGTCGGCTCTGTCCTCCACGCCTGGAGCCTCAGTGAGGCAGTTTTCCATTGAGAATCGGGTGCTGGGCAGCTTCCAGTCGATGCTATCTGGTCCATGCTTTCGAGAGTTGCGGGGCTCCGTAGGATCTCCGCTTGCAGCTTGATCACGTCACGTTAGGTGTCTTGACCCACCCCAGGCATTCGACCCCGGTTGAGCAATCTCAGCTGGGCCACACAGGTAACTAGTATATAGTCAACACCCGGCAAGCCGCGCACTCCAACACCTCAGACTAGATTAGCTTGACTTTGCCTCACCCCCACCCCCCAGCCCCTCCCCGCCCCTCCCACATCAATGTCGGAGCGCTGCCGAGCTGCGGTGGCCCAACTGGCAGAACAGCTGCCGGATGGACGGCTGCGCATCTGCATCCTCGGGGGAACCTCCATCCAGAGGCGATGGTCGAAGTCAAAGCCAACCCCACTTGCATCCCCAAAGCCTTTTCGTTTCTGCCTCTTGCCAGGAAGGAAAGCGAAGAGCTTGCGGGCAAGATCGCACAGGGCCTGTCCTCCCAACTGGCTGGGCGGGCTTTTGTATTCACAGAAGGACCGGCCTGGGTATGAAAGCATGGAAGCTATTGAGAATCTTAGGAAGCCAGCAAGCCATGTTTGGACATGTTGGATCCCCAAGTTGACCTGCCATGAGCCGTATGCCTGAAGGCATGCCGGGCATCCAGCAGGCCTTTGCACGGCACTGCAGCGATTCCATGCTGCACAACGTGGTGCCCGAGGGCCAGGCTTTGGGGCTTCTTGCGTCATGGTAGGGAGTACTGGCAGCCAACTTTCGAAGCGCAGGCGTGCAGTTGGCCTGGAACCGAGCTGCAGGCGGGCCAGAGCATCTCCGAGCGAAAGGAGTGGCATGGCATCAGTGCCTCAAAATTTCACACAGAAGCCCTTTGCGCCTTTTCGCAGAGGAGATCTTCAGCCTGCTCGGCGATGTCTACGTGGTGCTCGAAGGCGGTGCAGGCGTGGCCAAGCAGGCCCGCTTGGCCTCACGCCGCGGCGCCTGCGTGCTCCCCGTGACACGGACGGGCGGCGCCAGCTCGGGGCTCTTCCAGTTTCCCAGAAAGGCCTTGGAGAAGCCGGACTTTGCAGAGCAGGGGCACTGGGATGCCCTCAGCGCAGAGGTGCCCATAGCCACGACGGCTGAGGCCGTAGTGGCCATGGTCGAGGCTGTTTGCCAACTTCCAGGTGGCTGCGGGCGGAGTCTGCAGGAACAACCTGACAGCGACCCCGAACTCGACGACCTTGTAAGTCCCATGAGTCCTGAAGCTTGGCTCAGAGAACTGCTTTTCCCGCCTGCATGGCACATGGCACTTGCACTTGCAGCATGATCAGTCGGTTACTTCGTCTTTGGTGAGTTGCAGTGATGAGGACTCCTCCAAGCCCCTCCTTGACGATGTGGGGCAAAGAGAGCGGTCCTTCGAAGGCTCCAAAGACAAGAGCCAGGCCACCGAATCGGAAGGGGGTGGGAGATGTGAGGAGATGTGAGGAGAGGCCTGAGAGAGGAGAGAGAGGGCCCAGGACGGAAGAGTGAAGGGTGTGCCCTCCAGGACACCGTCCTTGCCCAGGGGCTTTCGGAGGAGGAGCTGGGCGCTGTGCGGGCGATTCTGGGCCTCCAGAGAGGCCCTTTTACGGAAGTTGCAAAAGCGCGGAAGTTTCACTTGTTTCCACTCGCAAAGATTGAAACGGGAACTTCGGAGTGCCCCATGGAGTGAAGGCTCCTCGAGCTCGGCGCCAAGCACTCACGAGAGCCCGCCCAAAGCAGTGCCATGGCCGCAAGAGGGCATGCAAGGGCTGGACTTATTGATACTTCCGGCATGCGATAGCACCGGAGAACTGTTCTGTAAGGAGGCGGCGCCTCTGGGGCCGAAGTCCTCCACACCCATGCCCTTCCTCCAGAGGCTCTGGTTTTTTTCATTCAGGGACCTCATGGTGATTTCTTCGAAAGCCCCGTGGACAAGCCTGAGGGTGCCCACTCATTTCTTATCCTGGGAGTTCTTCCGCAGCGTTGATGCCCTGCAACGTGTACACCAGGCCGGTCATGCGTCACACGGTGGAGACACCCGTGCCTGGTGTCAGGACCCGGCTTCAGGCATTTTGGGGTTCACGGCAGTTTCATGTGAGCAGGCTCTGACCAGAAGTCGTTTTAGATGTCTTTGCAGGCAAAGAGCTCGGGGATGAGGTCTGGTGCCGGCTAAAGCCATAGCTACCCTCAGCACTGAAAGGAAGAGCCCCCAACAAGTTGACATGTTGCATGCTTTCTTCAAGCTACAGACTGCTGGCACTCTGAATGGTAAGAAGCTCCAGTCGATGGAGTTCACGTTTGGAGTTTTTCCGTGAGCGCGGGCTTTGCTTGTACAGGGGCCCTCGCTAGCGGTGTACAGGCATCATGCCGCGAGCAAAAGGAAAGATGAAGTCGTCCATCAAGCTGGGAGCTCGCGTCGAAAAGGATGCGAAAGGTGCATCTGGGGAGCGGGTGCAAGCGCAAACCTTGGACTTCCGGTCGGCGGCCGCGATTCCGGAGTTCACATTGGCAGATCCACTGGCGCATGCAACCGGAAAGAGGGTTGCCACAAACAGTGGGATGAAGACCACCTTTGCTGCAGAGTCTTCGTTGAACGTTGCTCGACGCATCAAGACGGCTTGTGTACCCCTGGGTTGCAAGGTCGAGGATGATGCCGCGGTCGCCGAAGAACTTTCCATCACAATGGATCTCTCCTCGCGCAGCAGGCATTTGATGCCCCGTCGGCCGGCCTGGTCATACCAGATCAGCAGCGGCCGCCTGCATCACCGCGAGGCTCAAACCTTCAGGAAGTGGCTCGATGACGTCCAGGACATGATTCAGAAAAGAGGAGGCTATCCACCGGCCTACGAGACCAATCTGCAGGTGTGGCGCCAGCTCTGGCGAGTTTTAGAGCGGTGCCATGTAGCGGTGGCAGTGCTGGATGCGCGACACCCGCTGCTCCATCTGCCGCCTGCGCTGGTCTATCACGTCAGTCGAACCTTGCGCAAGCCGTTGGTCGTTGTCATGAACAAGCTGGATGCGGTTGGGCCAGAGAATGCGGAGAGATGGGCGAAGGCCCTCTCGGGCGTTCCTGGAATATCTGCAATCACAGGCTTCTCGAAGGAAGAACTGCATGAGAGCAAATTCAAAGACCTGCAATTCGGCAGAAATGCTCTGATCAAAGCGTGCCACAAGGCCTATGCCGACCACCTTGCTGCGAATCCCGCCGCCGGACACGCCGAAGCTGCGCCGAGTGCTGAGGCAACCTCCGACCCACCGGCAGCAGCATCGGCTGAGGAGACTGACTTCTCAGCTGCGTCGAGCTTCAGCGGAGTACGCCGCGGGTTCTTCTTCGGCACAGGAAGCCAAGGAACTGGCTACTATCGAGATGCACAGGCGACGCTGCCTTCCAGGAGCTACAGTCCACCACAGGTCCAGCCCCCACCGGCCACTCCGGAAGATCTGGAGATTCCGGAGGGCAGCATCATGCTGGGCTTGGTTGGCCACCCGAATGTTGGTAAGTCTTCCATGGTCAACAGCCTCATGGGTGGCAAGGTGGTCAGTGTCAAAGCCACACCTGGCCACACGAAAACATTGCAAACTCTGAAGCTGGACGAGACGACGTGCCTTTGTGACAGTCCCGGTGTGGTCTTCCCACGCCTGGAGGTCCCACGAGAGGCACAGATCGTCGGCATGCTGATGCCCTTGGCGCAAGTGCGCGAGCCTTTCTCGGCTATCCGTTGGGTCATGGAACGGTCGCTGCGGCCACTTCCAGAACACCTGGGCCTCAAACCAGTTCCCTTGAAGCGCGTGTGGGAGCTGCAGGAGCTTGGGCTGGAAACCTTGCAGCTGGACTTGGTGGATGCGGAGCAGGAGAACGACATCGTGCCCTGGTCTCCGATGCTCCTGTGCGCCCAGATGGCCGCGCAGCGCGGGTTCATGCACGGGGGCCGGCCCGACTGCATCAAGGCCGGGACCGAGATTCTGGAGCGCGTGCTACAAGGTCGCGTCCCGTACTGCGTGCCGCCGCCACTGGGAGAGGTTCCCGCAACACCCCACGATGACAGCGAGAGTGACAGCGACTATGCCTGCGACGACGACTTTGAAAGTGAGGAGGAGGAAGAAGAGATTGGAGACCGGGATTTGTTGGAGCTTTACGGCCTCGAAGCTCGAGGCATTGGCCGCAGCAGCCAAGCTTCCATCAAGAGGTTCCGGCGCCGCCAAAAGCTAGCGGAGATCGCTGGTGAACCTGATCCTGCACGGGGTTTGCGGCCTTATGCCGGCCGGTTAAAGGAAGTTCAGGCAGAGTGAGCTGACTTCTCAGCGAAGATGCGCCTGGAAGCAACAAGTGGGTTTTGCACGGCATTTGTTTTTCGGTTGTCGGGTGTTTTTCTTTCGTGTTTCTTCGGCTTTGCCTTTTACGCTTCAGCCAGAGAGGGGCAGCCTTTTTGTTAGGCCGGGCTTGATTTGGTCCTGGGTCGAAGCTCTCAAATCCCACTCTGCGAGGAGCTCGGCTTGCTTCCGCCGAAGGATGGTTCGGGACGCATGGAACATGCAGGAGCGCCCAAAAGGGCCCAACATGGCTACCGGAGGGCAGGGCATGGAAGATGGTGTTGCAAAGCAGATATCCTCAGGAGCTGCTTTTAGGGTCCCAAGTGCTCTGAGACCTGTTGCCTTCAAGACGAAAGCCCAAGTGGTGGCGGAACTGTTGTTTTGAGGAGATTCTCTTGGCTTGGGCCATCTCGCGTCATCCGGGCCGGCGGGCACGGCAACTTGCCCACGAGTTAGTTTTTCAGCTTGGTTCTGGGAGTTGTTTCCTTTGTGGACAACTGCCCGGACTTGCCCTCCTCTTTTCCAAAGCTAGCGGCGATCTGTTTGACGGCAAGGGGAAATCCTCGAGAGCTCACGCAGCGCAGCCGCGGCGCCACTAATCACCAATATCTCTAGCGGCCCCAACATCGGAACATACGGGCATAGTGTGTGTGACGCTAAACCTTACAGGCCTCTGAAGCCGGGTGCGAATCCGAAGCCTATCGAGCCTCAGAGCCCAAACCGCACAACAGAAAGTTCTTAAAGCTGTCGGGCCGGGGCCTGACCAGGGCCACCGAGGCATCTTGGCGATTCACAGGATCGGGGTTCTGCACCTCCGACCGTTTGGGTCTCAACAGATCTGTAGGTGGATAGAGGGTCGTCCGTAAAGGTCAGCTGACTACGAGAGGTTCCTGTAAGGGGCTCCATACGCGGTTGTTCCTAAAGGAGGTCTGGGGGGTCCGTAGGCCGGGGTTAGCAGGTTTGTATTCGAAAACCATAGGATCCATTTGTGGTCCACACGCCCACAAGGGACGAGCTAGCAGCCACAGGGAATGTCAAAGAGCAGATCCTGGGTCATGTGCACCATTCGTGTGATCTGACATTCACAGGCGAGTCGAGGCATGCGGTTGCAAGTAGGGTCTACGAAAAAGGTGTTTAGAGGAGGCAAAAACCCCCAATCTGTTGGGCTGGTGGCGGGTTGCCAGAAAAAATCACAGGACCAAGGAGTTGGCTTGTTCTTGACCCCGAGGGCCTTAGGCCTGGGGCCTCGGATAGATGAAAGAGGTTCTTTTTTTTTTTTTTTTGTATGAAGTCCTGCACTGCAAGGCAGCGCCATGAACTGCCCACTCCACTGGCAGACGAGACGGACAGAAAGCATACAGAATGGGACCTCCAGAGAGGGCTTGGTCAAGTGATGGTCTGTTTTGTATGGCGAGAGAGGTTTGCTGAGTTTGCCGCAGTTTCTGGAGTGGAGCTTTGTCATCCTTTGTCGAGGAGTTCCGCTGGTATTTCAACCTTCTCTTCCCGTCCTTGGAGATCGATCTCTGGGAAACTCGAGATGCCGAAGACGTGGATGCAGCGGTGGAGTGCCGAACTCAGGAGAACATCGAGGTGTCAGCACCATTAAGCACCGTTGTTAGAGCTGTGCTCCCTTCGACCTTCTACTTGCGAGGGATTCAGCGGCGCGGCAGCTGCAGCTGGCTCTGAGATCAGCTGATCGTGATGGGGATGGCTGCGTAACCGTCCGCAGCTCAAAACATCCTAAGCCTCCTCAAGCCCCCCAAGACACCTGAACTTCCAGCTTGAACTGTCAGCATGAGTCAAAGACTCTTTCTCGACCTCCAAGTGGATTCTGAGCTGGCCAAAGATTTGGCAAGCTCAGGTTGAGGAGCTCCACTACGGGCTCCGCTGCCTCCACGGCTACCGGAGCCTTATGCAGGATGCTGCAAGGCTGCTGGCCTCCATGCCAGCTGCCAGGCTTGAAGGAGAGCCGAGAATCACGGCTGTGAGGTCTGCCTGAGTATGTTGTTTTGCTTATGTTCATATTAACATACTATCATAGTATTTTGGTATTTTGTATTTTTTAGTATTTTAGTATTTTCTTGTGTTGCTATTTCTACTTTATAATTCGCATATTGCTATATTGTTCTAGTACTCTATTATTCGTGTGTGAACGCATGTGCGGCATGGACTCAGGTCACCTCCAACCCACGGGAGCTCCAGGCGCTGCTCGATTCCCTGAACGACAACCTGCCGGTCCATGCCGCAGAGGTGCTCAGGTGGATTACATGACCCCCCGAATATTCACCCAAACTACTACAGCCCTTATTGAAAGGAGGGGTACAAACCTATTTTCAGACCCAAACTACTACAATCCATGGATTTCTAGGAGGGGCACAAGATTATTTTCGGAACCCGCACCCCAACATGGGGTGTCAACCTTGTGCTCGAAGAGACGACGTGGGAGCTGCGATGTTTAGTTGGTGGCATGGACCGGGGATTTGTTATAGCTGAATGGCTCTTGCCTTTCGCCCTCATGTAAGGCGATTTTCTCGTTTCGTAGTGCAAAGCATTGATTGGCAAAATACGGTCGAGACGGAGCAGGAGTTCGTGGAGAACACAGGGTTTCGGCGCCCGAATGTGTTGGATTCCACACTTGTGCCAGCCGACAGCTTGGGTTCCGGAGCATCGCCTGCCGGACACTTCTGCACCATCGGCAGTACCCCTTACTGCCTTTTCTTGCGTTCCAGGTCTTGGCGGGCCATCATGGACCCATGGACCTTCGTAGACTCTTTGCGCTCAGCACGTCGTGCACGTGCTTCTTGCAAGGACTTCTTCCTCCCTGCCGGCTTGTTTTGCACAGCGCCCTTCCTGGCGCTGTGCAAAACAAGCCGTTGCTGGGGGTCGTTGTGGGGTTGCGAGCGCTGAGCAGAAGGAGTCTACGAAGGTCTGTGAAGAGGTGGCGGTGGTCTGCCTAGACTAGACCTTGAACGCAAGGAGAAGCAACAACACAGCAACCAGGTCCTCCCAGCAAGGGTTCAGGCTGTGCGAGTATCTCGGTAGCATGGCTTGAGGATGTGAGAAGCTCTTGGCTTTCATGAAAAATGTTGGGTTTATGGTTTGGAGTTTAGGGCTGAGGAGTGCCCAAAACCCTGCAACCGAAACTCTCGAAACTCTCCCGACAGCTTCCCCCTGTTCACGGTACAACGAAAAAGCCCTAAACCCCAAACCCTTTACACCCTGAATCCTATAACCCTATCAACTCGATAACCCTATAAACCATGTAAATCCTAACCCTCAACCGTAAACCTCTGGAAGTAGTTCCGCTTTGGCTTTCGGATTTAGGCCTGAGGGTTTAGGGCATAAGCTTTGGGGTTAGGTTTCGGGGATTTAGGGCTTTCGGGGTCGCGTGAAGCTGCCATCCTACTTGCCCGAAAGTCTCTTCCGCCAAGTTCGTGCCTTTCACATCTCAGCCCGCAAGAGGCGCAGCTGGTGCTGCGAGAGGCGAAGCTGGTGCGACCGGTCTGCAGTGTGAACTTCAGTAGTGGAAGGGAGAGAAGGGGGCAACTGGCACCACCAAGACTGGAGAGGTCTTTGCAGGGTCCCAGAGTGTCAGAGTGTGCTTTGCCCTGTTCCTTGGGTGGCACGCTGAAGAGCCCAGGAGAGGCGAGGGCGTCCGAGCCTCTCAATCCTGCTCACGGGAAGAGTTGCTTCCCAGCTGCGCTATCTCGAGCTGCAACGGGTTATGTCCCCTCAAGGTAAGATAGACCCCACAAGAGAAGAAAGATCTAGTTGTGCAGCACGCCCCCGTCAACAACACAGCAGTGGGCAGTTGGGATACCCAAACGCCGAACCCTGGGCCCTTTTTGGCTGTTCCCGAGGTTGTGGGCCTTAGGCTGCTGGTATGCGAATGTCCAGCGGGAGGACCTCAGTTCGGGTTTTGCTATTCCGTCTTGTCGCTCGTCGAGTGGAAACTTTGCAGACTTCTCCCATTTCAGCTTTGATTCTGCAAGGTAGGCCTCCCGCTCAAACCGTGCATCCTCGTGCCCCTCGTGCCTGTACGTGAGGACACGCAATGGCGCGATGTCCTCATTGCTGCTTTTCGCCGGTGGATTCCCTCAGACGAGGCTTCCGGGGGCCAATTGCAGGTTTCTTCAGCTGGTGGGGGTGGGTTGATGCGCGCTGCTGTTAGCCTGGAGGAGCACCACGGATACATACTCCACGCAACCTTGCTGAACTCTCCGTTGCAGTCGTCGGAGGGCACCTGCCCAGCATGCCCTTGGGGACTTTGCTCAGCTGCTTAACTCGAATCTGAGGAGCTGGCTCGCATGACCATGGATCTGCCCAGAACGCTGCCGATGCCCAGCCGCTTAGGGAGCCAGCCACGGAAGGACTCCGGGGCTCCGACTCAGGGCTTCTTAAGCCTTTCGAGATTGAAGCGAGGAATCAGGTGCCCACAGCACCATTGTTGCAAGACCAAGGGGGTTGTGCATATTTGCATAAAACAGAAGATGAAGAAAACAAGCAGGCAAAGAGAGCTGGGATGCTGCTCCCAGGAGACGTCCACCAGCCGCGCGAGCCAAGCATGCATTCTTCTGCTGGCTGTGGTGGCCCGCACGAAGTTCAGGGGATGATAGGGATAAGGACGTACCATGAAGAAGTTATGCAGGGTTAACGGGCCACTCCAACTTTAGGCCGTGATTCCACGCCTCTTCTCATTGCCAAGGTTCTTCACATCGTGTACTTCTTGCTGCTCATCTTTCCCTCGGCCTTCTTCCTGACGATGATCTTGCTGGGTGACCTGGGCAGAACTTCACGGGGAGGGTGTTTGAGCAAATTGCGCAACTTGCCCTGACCATAGCAGCCCTCAGCCCTGCCAGGAAGCGAGCACGGCGACGACCGTTGCCCCTTCGACCTGGACGGGTTGCTTGTGTGCCTTGGGGTGCATGTTAGGCTCCGAGGCATGAGGCCGCATATATCTGCTTCTGCAACATATGCCCGCGTGCATAGTCGACGATCCCTATTCGGAAAGCTTGCCCCGTCAAGACCAGAATGTGGAGTGTGAAGAGTGAAGACGTAGCCGTATCCGTACTAGGGAACACTGAAGCCTCCAACACTTCAAGCTCATCGAAACTAGGGGCACCCTACAGGACGTAGTTTGCCACAGTCTCCACCATGTTGTCGCAGTGGTTGCAGGTGGTTTGGCGCAGTCGGGCTGGCAGTTCTGGCGGTGGACTGTGCAAACGATGGCTGCTCTGATCAGGAACTTTGGAAACTGGACCTCGCGTTTCGTTGAGATGAACATACATTCTGTGTCTCTGTGCGTGGGTGTGTGTCTCGCTCTCAGTCGCTCTCTCTGCGTGTCTTTGTTTTTGGGTGTGGGGTGCCAGTTGAGTTGAGTGTCCAGAGGTCCCATGAACGCATGATACTAACGCTTTCATGCTTGGTGCGGGTCGGCAAGTGCGGCCTAGCTTGAGCGGGTGAGGGGTGCAAGTGTAGTCTGGAGGTGATATATGAATGCAGACGATGAAGGACGGGGATTTTATGGCTGGCGTTGACGGCACTTGCTATGTCAGTCATCATCGTGCCCTCACTCAGAGCCAAGGCAATATCGGCATCACAGTGATCGCCACCTGTTTGAAAGCCTTGTTGCTCCTGACGCCCTGCCTTGGCATGTTCTGGACCGCGGTCGGGATTTGCAAGGGCATGGCAGGCACGTGAAGCTTTGCTTAGACCAACTTGCATATGACAGAGCAGTCTTCCGTGGCAGATCCGGGCACCCTGTTCCTTCGAACTGCCCGTGTGCTAGGACCCACGCATTGGAGCGCAGCGATGCCGACATTTGCGGGCCCTATGTGCTCCTAGACGCGGAGATGAATCGCATTGTCGGTGGAAGTTCAAGTTCCATACCTTGCTTTTTTGCTACTACGTGCGACGGGCAAGCAGACAACTGAGTCCTTGCAGAGCCCGCCCCCCTACAGCCAACCTTGTTATCCTTGTTGCACTTTCGCCAATGAAGCTCTGACTCTTGCACTCACCGGGGCCAGCTACGGCTATCGATTGCGACTGTGGTGACGACCAACGAGTGCTATTGCGGCTGCCGCTGTACTACTGCTTCTATCGCTACTGCTACTGAAAACCACCACTACTACCACTACCACTACCCACAACCCTTTTGTTTGACGTGCTTCTGCGACTGTTCCTTCTCATGTTAAGGGCCGACAATGCTAGTATTTACAGTGTTTCTAGCACTTGCTTCTCACCTCACATGGCCTCCTATGGATTTTGCCATCCGATTGTCTTCTTTGGCATGCGCGGATGCATCGACTTTCTTGGACCTGTCGCTGCTCCTGCTGCTGGCTTCGATTAGATCTTTTGGCGAAGTCTCTAGTAATGTCATGACTGATTCTTTTCTTTATGTATATATTGAAAGAATGTATTTTACAGATACAAGAGCATGGAAGAAGACCTGGCAAAGGAGAGTCTGGATTCGATGGTGAGGTTTTGTTGCGTCGTTACTTGTTGACTTGTAGAAAGGGTGTTCGGCCAAACATGTTTTCAAAGGGCAGGAAGGGCAGAAATGATCAAAGCCAAAGAAATCATTCATGAATATCTGTTTCTTGAATTTCCCAGACGAATTCGAATAAAATTATCGATTCCATCTTTTCGTTGCGATTTCGATCATGGATTCGAATGGATGAATCATTGTCATATTAAATGATCAGTTTTGTTGTTTTTCTGGCAAACCCATATCTTGTTCATGTCCGACCAAGATCAAAAAGACGAAATGGTCTGTTTCCCCATCTGCCTTGATTTGCCAAGAGATTATGCCTTCAGAGTCTCTAGATTGCTTCTTCAAGGGGTTTTCCTCTTGTGGCCTCTTGCCGGACACTATCTTTCTTAGGGGGCTTCACCTCAAATCTGTTATGTTCAATCCACCACATCAGAGTCGCCTCGAATCACAGTAACGTCGAGATATACCCCCTTGAGGGATTTCCTTTCGGGGGACTCCTAGAGGGACTTCCTTACGGACCTCATTGATAGGGATCACGTCAAGGGACGGGCCAATTCACTTCCCTAAACTCTTAGCCCTAAGCTGAAGACCGGGATGAAGACCGGGATAGGGGGCTGGTTGTTAGGGGGCGGAAGCGCACCTGGCATCGGGTCCACCCAGCACAGGCCGCCTGCGTCAGCCCTTTGGTACGAACCCTAAACCATCGAACTGAGACACTTGAAAATCCACCGATTCCTCATTATGGCGACCACGGCTGGGACCAGCGTGCGGCCATAGCTGCCACAGCCAATACAATGACCGCTATCAACAGTATACCGTCGCTTTCATGTTTTCCTCTGTGTTGCAGTAACGCTTGATATCTTCAGTTTTTGCACAGAATCGCGGTATGTTGCCCCCAAAAAGTTAGACCGCACCGTGCCCCATTCATCGGGTCTGGCTGTACCAACAAAGTTTCAGCTCTGAGGTTCTGGATGTCCAAGTGGCTTTGGAGCGCGCTTGCCTCCTGCGAGCTGCACTTGGGTGCAATTGGCCAGCTGAGGAGTTGAGGAGTCATGCTGTGAAGGGCCCCAAGCCCGCCATCTCCTGCACCCTAAACCCTAAACCCTAAACCCTAAACCCTAAACCCCAAACCCCAAACCCCAAACCCCAAACCCCAAACCCTAAACCCTAAACCCCAAACCCTAAACCCTAAACCCTAAACCCTAAACCCAAAACCCTAAACCCAAGGTACCTGTTCTGCCTGCTGTGCTGGAGCTTCCACGTGGCGCGGATCCATGAGCTTGCCCTGCGGCGCAAGGCCCCTTGAGGTTCAACAAGGGTTCCTAGTTGTAGAGTAGGTACCCTTCAACATTTGTTTTGGGGTAATAGAATCCATCTATATATATATATATATATTTTGTGTATACCTAGTAGTAGAGTAGGTAACCTTCAACCTTTTTGGGGTAATAGAATCCCCTTAGAATCCCAAAGGTTAACCCTTGATTCCCCCAGGTTACTGGACAACTAAGGGTTTTAATGCGGGAAGCGATGTGTGGGCGCATGTTTGCCCACTCTGGTTGTTTAGCCCCGAACCAAAAGGGTTCAGGGGTTTAGCCCGTTTTTTTCTTTCATCAGAATCTCCCCCTGGAATGCAAGTGCAGCTCTCCCCTTCCTCCTCTGAGCAAGGCGGAAGCTGACATGGATGCGCGGCTGAACCCATCCTCGCCCGAGCGCTTGCACATCGATTTCGGTGCGGCGACGTTGTCTTAGAGCCTTTATGCGGGCAGCCCCGCCGTGTGGATCTTGACTGTCGGGCTGCGAAAGTCTGCCCCCATGGTCCCGAAGACCGGGAGACTAGCAGGGGTAGGCTGGCAGCTGGCAGTTTCCGCCGCAGCTCGTTATGCAGAGACCATGCATCCGACTTGGTCGTTAGAAATCGTTTGCAAAGCCGAAAACAAACAGTCTCGGCATTCCTTGGGTCATCGATGGCTTCTCGAAGTGCACCATCCATTTGATGTGTGGTTCGTCATCTCTCAGGCTCTCTAGGCTCTCTGGGCTCTCTAGGCTCTGTTGGCTTAGTCTGGGTTTGGAGCATGCCGGCACAATTCCCACTAGTTTCTGAAGTGCCTTCCAAGAGCGTCTTAACACCTCTTGTAGCTGCCGGAAGTCTCCAGGTTGAGCCAAGTCCCGGCCCCGGGCCCGCGACCTGGCGCAGCTGCAGGCTGAAGACGATTCGGTGATGGACTACGAATCATTGAAGTCATGTGGGTCGGGAGGCTCAAGTATGCTGTAAATGTGAGGTTCCGGGGGGGGGAGGGCGGGTTTCGATGCCTCGATCTTCAACGCTAGGGCTTGAGACCCTTTAGATGTCACCGCACTGAACTGCGGACACAGCCCCTGAAGCCCTCTAACAGACACCAGCAACACCGAAGAAGAACGCAAAAAGCCACCCCAATCCGCTCAAGCCGTGACCCCATATGATACGTAGTCGGCGTAGTTGTAGTGACTTCCACTTTGCAGCGCCAGGCCCACCTGGTGCCCGGCCTTCTTCGGCGGTGGGCACCCGCGCAGGCCTTTACTGTCGTCGGGAGTTGGCTGCTCGAGGTAGTCCTAAACCCAAGAAGTGCAACGTGCCCCAAATCTCACGACCGGACCGAAGTGCAGAATCCCGGCAGGCAACAAGGCTCCAAGCGCACCCGAGCGCCAGGACAAGGCTCTTGGGCTCAGTTGGTCTTTCTCTTGTCTGGCCATAGTAGGACTGCCGGAGCCAAGCGGATTGAGTAGCAGCTGTAGCTTCCAGAAACGGATGCCGTGGAGGCCTGCATTTGTGGGTTTCGTGGATACGAACCTTAGGGCCCAGCCTTTGCTGAGAGGAAGGCCATAAATACCACTTCACTGCAATGATGTTGCCAAGCTCATTTCTGACTCCACTGTACTCTCCTTTCTGACTCTTCCCTGACTTCTCGTTGACATGTTTTGGGCTCTCCGACTCAGGTGAGCGCCCCGCTGCGGCCCGGCGCGGCCGGGGCACGGCCGAGCTCGGCAGCCGGGAGCCGCGCGCAGGCCCCCCTCCCCGTCCTCGGGCCGTGCGCAGCCCCCCCTTTCCAAAGTTTCGGGTTGTGCAAAGCCCCCTTTTCGAGCATTTCGGTGTCGGCAGCCTCCCTCAAGGCCAGCGCCCCGACGCCAGCGGCACAGCGCCTGGCCGCGGCCTCCGCGGCCACGGGCTCCGCGTTGAAGGCGGTGCAGAAGGCCTGGGTGGCCTGGGTGCTCGCCGCCCTGAGCTTGCATTTCAGAATACCCTAGTTCGTCTGGGCAGCTGCTCTGTGAATTTGTTTGGTTTTTGAGATCTTAAATTCAGATTAATATACTTGTGGAGAAGTTCGTTGAACTTGTTGGTTCGATGTGTTGCACCAGGCACGTGGCGTGTCCAGTGGTGGCTGGACCGGCTGAGTGAGTGTGTGGAGCCAGCAGCGGCTCACCGAAGCTAAAAGCTTTTAGGCCTAGGCCTTCATTTGTCCATTTGGCGACAAGTGCTCTCGATAGTGCTCCCGTACTTTTGCATTTACACTGACGGCTGACGGAACAGCGGTTTCTCTTGCGCTTTGCGCCTGGGATCGGAAGCAAGGATGTTTATGTGTGAGGCTTACACAAGCCATGCCTCAATCGGGTTTTCAACAATTTCACCACCGGCGCGCAAGTAGTCGCGTATCATCTCTTCGATAGAGCGAAGGTGCATCAGAAGCAGGACCTTGCGAAGCAAGCCCTGCCAAAGCTCCTTGCGAGCTCCAAGCGAGCACGCGGCACGGCGCGGAGTTGCCGATGCTTCCCTCATGGCCCCCCCGAATCCTGACCGCGCGCCTTTTTGTCACCAGCGCCTGCACTGGCTGTGCTGCTTGGATTCAGTTCGCCAATTCATGCATGCCTCCGGCATTCTCCGGCATTTTTTCGTAATTCATGCATGTCAGAGTTTGCATTCGACCCATGCAGCTCTTAGTGTCTATGTGGTCGATAGTGGTCTCAGTTCTGCAGGAACTATGCAGCGACCAGGGCAGCCGGCAAGCGTTGACCGCACTACCTTTTTAGCCTTTTTTGCCTCATTCGATAAGCCCCAGGGAACACGAGAAGCAGCCATTGGGTGCATAGCAAGGCCCTGTGGGTTTTGTGAGTTTGCTGCTGCCCCCAAGCCTCCACGACGTGTCTCAGACACTGTACCAGTGATGCCGCCACGGAAAGGTAAAGCTCCTCTTGAGCTGTGTGTGGGGAGAGGCAGCCACATGCTTCTTTCTTTTTTTGGCCGCTTCTGCAGTGCCAGGTGCCTTCGTAGGATGCTTGGCCCGAGAGCCCCCAGCTTTGAGCTCCCGCGCGAACCACATGATCATCCTTGAAGCTTTCAGCATAGAATCTGGGCAGATGCCATTTGTACGGTTCAGATAGGCTTGGGCAACGTGCTCAGGTCAAGTTGGCATCAAGTAGAAGGGCCTTTTCCGGCGCATCTCACATTCATCCTGCAACGCACTCTGGTACACAAAGCGTATCCACGTGCTCTCCCCTGTTGAAAACTACGCGTGACTTCAAGAGGCCAGGCGAAAGCTCTCGAAACATCAGTGCAAGAGCGCTCTGCTTTGCATTTCTGTCACAGGCGATGGCCATCAAGACCACGGAAGGGAACGAGTGGCAGGCAGGACTTAGGGAGTTCATAGGCCTCACAGAGTGTCCCCAGTCCTCACCCTCAGGTCTTCAAGCACACTTAGACACTCAGTCTATGGTTCAATGAGGGTCACCCTCAAATGCCTTCAGCGGCCAAGCAATGCACCATGACACTGTTCTGACACTTGTTTCTTCTTCTGGCCCCAAGTACCAAAGATGCAGCCATGGCGTGGTGTTCAACCAAGAGCTCTTTTGCACGTAGCGCCTGTCTTTGATTTTGGCGATGGCTGGCTCCAAGTCCAGAATCTCGCTCGTGCAGCAGATAACGTCCGTATGCAGCTGAAAACACCCCAGAGTCTGCAAAGTTCCCCTGAAAGCAGAATCCCTCTTTTGAGGACACCCGGAAACCCTTCAAAGTCCAATCTTCACCCGCCTGCAGCTTGGCAGGTTCTCGGTTTGGCCTTAGTTGCCCTTTGGGGCGCGCCTCTGCTGGATCTGGAGTCTTGCATCTCTTTGGTTCCTTGGGTTTTCGGCGTCGTTCTTGTGGTATCAGAGTTCATGTGGCAGCAACTTAGCAAGGAACACTGATAACAACGAAGGGGGCCAGGAGAGTTGTGTGCAGGTGTACCAGACCCTTCGCTGGTGCTGCTCTTGCTGCTGCCGTTGCTGCTGCGGTAAGCGGGAAGCTCCCCCTGCAGCAGCTCCCCTCATCCAGCCCGACAAGGTAAAGGTGGGCCTGGGCAGCATTCTTCATGCGGTGTTCACAACTTGTGTCTGATTGTTATTATGATAATAATCATACTCATAATAATCATCCTCATAATAATAATGATTACTATTATTATTACTAATAATATTATTGTTAATAGTAATATTATCAATATTATTATTAATACTATGTGCTGGCAGCTGCAGGTTGATGGCAGAGAGGTCAGTGCGGCGCATTTGATCCAGACCAAGGACAGGCAGGGAGCGACGCGGCTCCTTGCGTGCCCGGGTAACGCGCACTAACCCCAGACTTTTTGTGGTTTAGGGTTGAGGGTTTAGGGTTTAGGGTTTAGGGATTGCGGACGGTGCTGCAGGACGCGCGCACAGCCTACTTCCTCTGGCTGACGCTGCTCGCTATCGCAACAGCTCGTGTTTGGTCGATCTGATCATGTTCCTCGGTGGTTGGAGGGATAAGGTCGGATAGGGCTGCACCGTGCAATGCTGCGCAAGGATGGGGCTGGTGGGAGCCCACCATTTCTACGCGGACCGGCTGCTGCATGGAGTGCTTGCTGTTATCCGGCCGCACGGTTGAGGGATGTTCAGGGAGTATGAAGTGAAGCTGTGATGGGTAAAGAGCTGCCTGAAGCCTTAGCATCTGAAAGGGTCCATCTTCACACTGTTTTTACGGTCAGAAATCTCCTCACTTCCACCTTCCTCTTCTTCCTTCCTTTCCTCCTACATGGCAGAAAACGCTGAGGCTTGCAGTGGGATCCTTGGCTGAAAACTTCGGAGCCGGAGAAGCCGAGAGGGGGCCCAACTTCACAGAGCTCCCGCTCTCACCGGTCCATCTCTCGAAGTGCTTTGGATTCTCCGTACTCTTTGATCTCCTGGCATTCTCCTTCTGCGATGGCATCGAGTATCAAGCAGTTCTTGTCTTCTGAGCCCTCAAGATTCCCCGAGCCTGTTGTAACCTCGGGAGACTGTGAGCTCGAAGAACAGAAGATGATGATGCTTGAGGGAAACATTGAACGCTTGATCGAAATGAAGAGACCACTGCAGAAAAAAAAACAAGCAATGCAATGCAGATGCCGAAGGCTGCACCACGCAGGGCCCCGGAGTAGGGAAATCGCGTGCCTCGAAATGGCGAATCGCTCCCGGTTCGTCTGAACAAGGACTCTGCCCTCTTGAGCTGCCAGTGCAGTCGGGGGAAATCCACTCGGCTTTGCCATGAGCCTTGCAGCGAGCAAGGCCGGCAAGAACAGAATGCTCGAGGTCCTTCACGTTCTTGGTGCTGGCCAATTTTTGCAAGACAAGGGCGACGTCTGTTACATGCAACAGTCGGCTCGTGCAGCCGGGGACCTGTTTCCCTAACTAAATATGCGATTGCGGGCACATGTCCATTCCACTTTGCGGAGTCTTCCAAAGGTGGGCAGGTGACTTTCGCTACAATGTGTTACAACGTGCTTCCGATTTTTTTTGTTCGTTTTGTTCAGTTCAGCTCCATGGTAGAAAACCTCGGGTTAAGTCATCTTATTGAACAGAGACGAAGCTGAGGAACTTTTTTGGTGTGGGATGGTTCCTGGACTTCTTCCTCATCCCGCCACTTGGCCGCCACAGCCGATTGGTGCGATACAGGCGGCGACCTGCGATGAAACGCAGAGATTTCGTGTTGGCGAGTAGTTCTTCCTCTCCATTTGGGAGTTTACGACAATAAGGGACCCCTAATATAAACCGCCAAATAGTAGGACCCCCTTATCATGAGGACCCCAACGAGGTGCCTCAATGTCGTAAACCCCCCCATGTTGTTGCATCTTCGACATGGCTTCAGGACCTATGTGGCCGCCATCAACCGGCAAGTCCCTCCCGAAGTAGCAAGACCTGACAACAGCTGCGGGCGGCCTCTCGTCCCATAAGCTGCATGCCAACCCCGTCAATTTTTTTGGCCTTCGGGCCCTTGGGGCCCCACGAGCCTGTTTCAGAGCTCTGTGGCGCCAAAATCGTGCCAAAAAGTGTTGCAGGATGGTCTGCATCCAAGGCTGACGTGTCGACTCCCAGTCATCGTCACAGTCGCCACCTTGGGACTTCCCTCTCACCGCCCCGCCCCCCTTCTCCTCTTTGCCAAAATGCCGAAGGCGGTTGCGATTGGTGTGGGAGGTCTAATCATGTCAGCGCGAGAGCATCAAGTGTGCCTGAAGAGACAGAGTATGGCCTGAAGGGTTTTTCATATCCAGGCTTACCCCAGCTGTCGGCCGGCAGACCCGCTTTCTGACCTCACGTGCATGCGACAGACCAGCTCTTGCTTCAGCCTTGACCCTGACCGAGACCATCATTGTGGTGTTTCTGGCCTTCATCTTCCGAGTGGGGTGCTGAGTCGAGGGTCTCAAACTCGAAGCCTTTGGCTGATTCGTTTGCTCCTTTGGACATAACAGCGAACTGATCAGAGGGCTGTCGCAGGGCATACCCGGTCGACAAAGCAGGGATACGACTTGCAGCAAGCACCGTGCTGCAAACCCTAAACCCTAAACCCTAAACCCTAAACCCTAAACCCTAAACCCTAAACCCTAAACCCTAAACCCTAAACCCTAAACCCACTTTGCAGTTTCCGGCAATCCTCCATGGCACTGGTGTGGTGGACCTGGAGCAGAGGATGGCAGGACCAGTGAGCTTCCGTTGAACCTAAGCCAGTTCGGTTTAGGGTTTAGGGTTTAGGGTTTAGGGTTTAGGGTTTAGGGTTTCGGGCTCAGGGTTTAGGGTTAAGGGTTTAGGGTTAGGTGCAGCGTTTTGGAAGGAACGGCTGGAAATCCATATGCGCCTTGGACGCGACAAGGCTCATTGACGGATGTGGACTCGAGAGTTTCATGGACAAGTGACGGGTGCAGCGGTCAAGTCCTTTGCCAGAAGCCCTTGAAGCACAACCTGGGTCCAGATTTCGACCAACAACTGCCCTATCCAAGGTGATCCTCGAGGTGGAGCGTGATCTGCCGCAGGAGGACATCAGGAAGGTGCAGTACCCTTGCAAGTCAGCAACAAGTGGCAGTTCTTTTCTGTACTTTCTTTGAGCCTTTGCAAGGCCTACTCCTCCCAGCTCAAGGAGGTGGAGGGTTCCAAGGACGTGGAAATTCTTCCTTTCATGGCCCTCGGTGTCCCCTGTAGCTTCCAACTGCGTCAGTTCAAGAAGGAGAGGCTCTAAAGCTTTCGATGGAGCCCAACACAAGCCTGCAAATGCCCGATCTTCCCCGCCCCTACCCACAGACAAGATACTGAACGGACCCATGCTCTTCCTGGACGCTGCTGTGCCTGGGCAGGATTGCCAAACTGCAAACAAGGCCTGCAAGGCGAAGAAGCAGAACTTGAAGAAGGCGCATAGCGGCATAGCGCATCGAAGCTGAACACTCGTTTGGGAAGTGCGGGAAGTGCATTTTCTCGCTCGGTGTGCCGCCGTAAGACAGCACTTAATGGCTTATTGGAGCCCCTGTCTGCAGGCAGCCGAGTTCATCCTCCATGGACCCCCACAGTCCGACGAGCCACAGAAGGAGAAGACGGAGAAAAAGGTGAGGCTGTGCTGTTGTTTTGACTCAACAGGGCCTTGGCTTAGGGTTTGGGCCGCCTGACCCGAAGATGAACTTCGAGCTGCATGCCACAGCGAGGCCCGCCGGAAGCCCCGGGAAAAGAATGATGATGATGCCTGGGCGGACTGGGGCGACTACCTCCGGTGCCTTGGGGCATCCTAGAGACACTTCCACAACCTGACATACCGCAGACAGTGGTTTGCCGCAATTGAGCCTGTAGGGTCATCGAGACGAGCATGCTTCGAACCTCTTCGAAGTCGCCTGACTTCCTCGTTTCTTGAGCCTGAAGCCTTCGCTGACCGAGGGCCGAGTGGGATGCCGTCGGGCAGGAAATCAAAGAAGGCTCCTACGCTTTGCTTCCGTTTGCGGATGCTATCGGAGAGGTGTTGTCTTCAAGAGGCTAACTAGACAGACTTAGGCACGGAGCCCTAGCTGGGACGTGCATGATCACTTAAGGACTTCTCGGTAGGTAACTTGGCTCTCTTCAAAGAATGCAGTGGCACCACTGGCAGGTTCGTCGCAGTTCGCCAAGAACTTGGAGAAGGCTGGTGGCCTTCAAATATGTACTGCTCCTATGCATGCGAAGGCGAATGACTATAATGACTAATGACTTTAATGTGTGAAGGCCATGCTCAAGGCTTTAGGCGCCATGTCTCAGCGTGATAGATGCGAGCGTCTTCTGGTGAGGACTACTTCAGCTGACCACGGAGTTGCCTTTGAGCGGAGGGCGCACCTCCGGTCTGCTTGTTAATGATGAGCGGCGCTTGTTGCTGCGGTTGAACGAGCCTCATGTTCTCCAGGCTTCCCTCGGCCTCACTCGGGGACTAGAGTGACTAGAGCTGTAGACTGAAGTAGTCCGTCAAAGCAGGCGCCAAGCTGGAGCACCTGGGGTCAGAGCGTTCTCCACTTTAGCCAGCTGTGGCCCAGATGCCCAGCTAGCACTTCAACCTTTGCGAACCTGTTGCAAAAAAGTAAAGAAGCCTTCCATTCAGCTTCTGCGGCTTCTGCGATCTTTTGGAAAAGTGCACGACACGACTCGGCACACACGGTCTCGTGAATCTTGCACATCTGCCGGCTCACCGACACGCCGTGATGCAACAGCACATGAGCCATGTTTACGTTCATTCGGGTGTGTGCCATTCATCCGTCAAAGCTGCGCATGTGTGAAAGGTGTAGACATACACTGAATGCTTGCAACAGCAATTGCACACATTAGGTAGCTCCACTGGCATGGTGCGGGGCAGCTAGGCTAGGGCAGCCGCAGCCCAAGCCTGTGGGTTGAGGGATCAGGAATATCTGCTTGCGTCCACGCTCCATATCGGGCTGTTCTGTACGCATCATCAGGTCCTGCATGGAGAAGCCACGGCCGCAGTGCCTCTTCCCTCGCCTGGAGCAACGTGCCCCCTCGGAGCCACAGGCAGGGACCTATCTTGGGGTTTCCGATGATAGGGGTAGGGTTCCTATAATAAGGGTCACAATGTTGGGGGTATATTAAGGGGACCCCTATTCTGGGAATACCCACCTCTCCCACTAGAGACCACGGAGTGCTTGCATTGAGCCGGTTGTGTGCGGCAGGAGCCGAAGCAAGCCGGAGGTGCCCCTGGTTCATTTCGGAGTGGAGAACCAAAGCAACAAGCGTTTCCCTAGGGCTTCAGTCCTCCAAAGTGGGGCACTCTTGGATTCTTGGGGCTCCCGGAGCTGCCAAGCCGCCGAGTCACTGCTCAAACCGATCAGGGCGATCCCGGCTCAGCCGCTCACAGCCCTCTCTGAGGCGGGAGAGGATTCGGATCAGTTCTCCAATTCTCTCTGCAAAGTGGTTTGGGCACATTTACCCGCCAGCCCACCCCCCCCCCCCTCAACAAAAGAAAAAACACAGTTTACCAAAGAAGTGACCAGTCGCTGCATTGTCTTGCCGCTCTGTCTTGCTGCTTATAAAAGCCGCTCGCCGCCGGGCTCAGAATTCAGTCTGGTGCAGGTGAAGAGGCCACAACTTGGCATTCAGAACTCCACACCCCCCCCCCCTCGATCGCCCCCCCCCTTCAGAAGCATACCGCATACCTGAATGACTCAGTCAACTGCTGACATTATGCCACTTTCCCTCCGTCTCAAACGTGCCTGGCATTCGCACACTCAATCTACGCATCTCAATACCTCCGCTGCCGTGCAAATGTGCAATGCCCGCTTCCGATGAAGCTCTGGACCCATTCAGCAAATGGACGGTGGGCAACTCAGGGCTCTACTTTACAGCAGTCCTGGCAGTCCTGGTTGCGTGCCTCCAGTGCACTTCCCATTGAAGGGTGGGCTTAGTACCAGTTGTGAGTGGAGCGGCTGCCGAAACCGAATTTCGCCGAGGTCACGGAGGAGCGACGCAAATCCAGGACCTGGGGGTCTGTTGACGGAATCTGGTGACTACTCGCAGACACTGCCAGCGGTTGCGACTCCAGGGTTCGAAGCCCGAAAGGCATGTTCTGCGGAAACAGACGCTTTCGAAGCTGCGGGCTCAGCTTACGCCAGAGGCACTGACGGTTGCTATTGAAAGGTATATACTTTTTATTCTTTCTTCTTATGTCTTGAACTTTTTACGAATATTTTTATTTGGTTCCCCACCTTCGTTTTTAAATTGTTAGATTTTAAACTCAACTCTTCTCCTCGCCCGGAACTCTTCTCCTCGCCCGGTCTACTCCTGGAGACTCCCTGGAGTGCCCAACCCCAATTGCAAGCACAAACTAAGCAAGCGTATTTGAATCAATGTCTTTGTTCATTTGCTCGTTTTCCTTTTAACGAGGAGCAAGGTGGGGATGTTCGAGGTAAAATAACTATTTTTAAATAGCAGTTTAAGATCTCACTCTCTCTCTTTCTCTCTCTCTCTTTCTCTCTCTTTGCCTGTGGCTCTGGGTCGCGGTTTTTCAGGTCGCTCTCCGCCGCGGCGGTGCTGCGCCAGGCCAGGCCGCGGCCTGCCGGGGCTCCTGGGAGGGAAATTGGGGGGTGTTCCCCCTTAGACGAACAGTCCCCCCTTAATGGGGATTACAGTACCCCCTACTATAATCCCTATTAAGGACTGTTAAGGGGAAGAGAGGTTATGGGAAACCTCCTTCCTTGTGGGCCACTGGGGAGAGGTGCTGCTCTCGGAGGTTCTTTGAGTTCTTTGTTCATTCCGATGCCTCGCCCAGGCAGCAGGCTGTGCCAAAAGCTCCTCAGGCCGGCTTCTGCTAGAGTTTCTATAGCTCCGCCCAGCGCCTCAAGTGCCTCTGCCTTCACAATGCCTTGCGTGGAAGCTTCCTGTGAAGTTCTGGGCGAGGAGACGAAAGAAGCCTGCTTGGCACCAGCGCGGGTTCAGAGGCCATGAGCAGCAGGCAGCCACCCGGTTCTGTTGCAGTTCGAGCTCTGACATCCTTATAGTTCTCTGGACAGCAGACAGTGCCAGCACCGACTGTAGGAGGTCCAGCAAAGATGTGGCTCCGGATGGTGGGTACGCGGCGTTCAAGGCCGGAAAAGATCAAAATCACGCAGAGCAGACTTAGGGGGAAAGGCCGCTGGGCCTCAGGGAGTTGCGAAGGCATGTGTGGGCCGCTCGGCCTCGAGAGGATAGGTAGGCGAAAGTGGTAGAAGGTGGTTGTGGTAGCCTGGAATCGAAAGAGAATGAAAGACTAGATTTACTGCAGCATATCCAAGAATTATTCCTGTAGAACCACCTTTTGTAAACATTAAGAAAAGAGATGTGAGAAGAAGGCAGAACTAATTCTAAGGTGTAATAATGGTGAATTTCCAAGATATGTAAAAGCCAATTAAAGGTTTTTGTATCAGCTGGTAAGGATATTAAGATTGTAACTCCTGTAAACAAGCTCTTGTATCACGTTCTAAACCTACAGTATACATATGATGCCCCAAACAAGACTTCCAAGAAGAGAAATAGTTGACATGGCAAAGATCATTGAGTGGTTACCAAAGACTACGCATAAATTGTAAAATCTCAGAAATTAGTATGGAAATGAAATACAGATGAAGATTTGTTAAGATGTAAACTTCTGGATGTGCAAAAGCCAAAAAACTGTTGAGAGAATATAGGATCTCCTCCAAATATGGGATCAAAGAAAAGTGTATTGGAATGAAGATCACCCAATATTACAAGAAGTGTACCAGATAAGATTGGTAATGCTATAAAAGCATGAAAGCTGCAATCAAGAAAGCGAGCCTCTCTTCCTTGAAGCATCCGCGTATTCAGCTTGGGGTATTTCCACATCATATTGCATTGCCTGTTATGATCAGTGATCAGGATAAGCTGCCTCGCGGACAGGCCCGCTTTGAAAAGGAGTACGCGCAGCAGCAGAGGGCCAGCTGCACCTTGGATCCATCGCAGCTTGATAGGTTTGCGCAGGCGGTGTGAGCTTCGTCCCTTCAACCCCCTCAAAAAACGTCGCTGCTGTGCCGTTTGCTTGCTAGAGTCCGGGTTTCGAGCCGGAGTCCCAGAGCTCTTTTTCCGATCCCCATGGCCACGTGTGGCAGATGAGTGTGAAGTGCCACAAGGCCTGGCACTCAGCCGCCGGCAGCGTATGGTGGCCGAGACCCTTCAGGTTCCCTCATGCCGTGCGATTCGGGTCTCCGAATTGGGTCCCATCCCAGAAAAACAGCAGCCAAACAGTTGCAAGGAGCAGCCGCTCCGAATTGGGTAGCTCAGCCTCTTGAAGCATCCCAGGCAAGTACTTTAGCTCCATAGACGAAAGCCCAGAAGCGTGAGGCGGTGCGCGACTCCTGGGAGCCCGACAGTCGCCTGGCCGCTGCAGCCGCAGCAGAGGCTGAGGCGAGTAAAAGGAGTAGAGCTAAAGTAAAGCAAAGTAAAGTAAAGTAAAGCAAAGTAAAGTAAAGCAAAGCAAAGTAAAGTAAAGTAAAGCAAAGTAAAGTAAAGCAAAGCAAAGTAGAGTAAAGTAAAGGCTCAGCGGATTCAGCGGGAATGTTCCTGGCGGTTCAGGTCTGGCTGGAGCTGTATCAGTTCTGAAGATCCCAAATCCCAAATTTCTCATCAGAGAATTGGGTTTGCAGCCTTCACATTTCTGCGGTTTCGGAAGTTTTGTGCATGGGGTTGAGTCTAAAGGGTTGGGATATATAGGGCTTATAGTACCCCCCTATTGTAATCCCTACGAAGGACTGTTAGTCTAAGGAGGAACAAACCAACTAAAGGGTGTAGGCAGGCCTCGGGCGCACGATCTGGTTTGCCGATCCGCTTGGAGCTGTGGCTCGGTACTCCTTAGCACGATCCAGCTTCCAGCTTCCCGGTATGGCCAGCCCTAAACCCTAGAACCCTAAAACCCTAAAACCCTAAAACCCTAACACCCTGAAACCCTAAAACCCTAAAACCCTAACACCCTAAAACCCTAAAGCCCTAAAACCCTGAAACCCTTAAACCCCAAAACCCTGAAACCCTGAAACCTTAAAACCCTAAAACCCTGAAACCCTAAAACCCTAAAACCCTGAAACCCTGAAACCTTAAAACCCTAAAACCCTAAAGCCCTCAACCTAAAACCCTAAAACCCTAAACCCTAAAGCCCTAAACCCTTCTTTTGAATAGCACGTGGGGGCCATCCTGAGCGCTCTCCCTGCACCTCAGGAGGTCGCCCGCCTCTTCCGCACCCCTGCCGCGCAGCGGGCCAGTTGGTGGCCTCAGAAAGTGCTCTCCTTGCCTCATGTGGGGGGCTTTACGAAAGTAAGGGACCCCCAAATAGAGTCCCCCCAAAACAGTAGGATTCCCTTGTAGTAAGGACCCCAAGAAGGTACCCCCGAACTTCGGAAACCGCCATGTCTTGCCTGCCTGGCCAGAGGTCCCCTGCTTGCGTGCCTTCTGCGTTTGCCTTCTGCGGCATGGGTTGGGAGCACCGTAAAGCCCGGTGCGGAGCAACTCCCCGCGGCCGGAGCGCACTTGACCGAGGCTGCTGCGACCTTGCTCGCCCGAGGGTCCTGGAGCCTACAGACGAGCCCGAGGCCTTCTTTCCGTTGTGTTCTTGCTGTCGCGCTTCTTTGTTGTGAGTTGTCGCCCGCCTTGCTGATCTTGAACCAGCGAATCATTGGGAAGGCACCTCATGATGTCCCGCGCTCATGGGCAGAGTGAGCCTGGCATTCATTAAGCGCTGCAGTGAGCTACGGAGCTCCATGGGACCAGGTGTTATTAGAGCTTTAACCATTTTCATAGCTGCTGGGTTTCCGTGATGTGTTCATGGTTTTGGACCAATTCTGCACTCCCTGAGCCCTCGGCCCCCGAACCTTGCGCTCTGGACTGAACGTTGCATTTTCTGTATCTAATGCTACTATACCAACATGAGTACTCTTACTATAATGAACATGTCATTGTGTTTAAAGATCATATTGAACCATTGAAGAGCCAAAATTCTTCGGGCTCTTGGGCGTTGGCCAGGCAGCAGGCCCATGCCCGTGCTTTGGCGGAACCCCGGCCTCTGCCCCAGCAGCCCGAACCAGCGCCAGTACCCTCGAGGAGCGACACCCCAAAAAGTCGAAGAACTCGACACCTCTAATGGCCCAAAGAGCTTCGCTTTGCAGTTGTTGCGTGTTCTTGGTTCGTGGCTCCATTCTTAAGGGTCTGCGTGATAGGAAGGAGGCGCTCGATTTTAAGTGGGCTGCAGTCTTTAACAGATGCTGATCACGTAGATGTCATGTGGCAGGGTTGGTAGGCGATTAGGAGACACCGACACACTGCCATCCCGCCATGCTTCAGTCTGAACACCCCTCGGCAGGAGCGTGTCTGAGCAGCAGCGCCACTGTGCAGAGCTGGCCCAGCCAAAGCCGAGGGCCTTCACGGAATCGCTGCCAGGTGTGGCGTCTGTGGGGTAGATTTCAACGAAGGTTTGAGCTGCGTGTCAGCCTCTGCTTCGGTCCTCTTTTGCGGCAGCAGAGCCCTGTTCCAGGATCATCCGCTGCCTGGCGAGCCCATACTGCATGCTTTGCAGTTGTCCTTTCGAGGGTGTGGGATCCGGCCAGTAGCACGCCTGCAACGTGTCCTCTGCTTCTATTCATCTGCTGAAAGCAGATGCTCATCGATGTGTGCTGATCAGGTACGCCGAGTGTTGCAAACCTTCGAAGTCTTTCATTTGACCTCAAACTGAGTGTGTGGGCCAGGAGGAGCTGGCCTCGCGTGCCGCTGCCATGGTGCCCGAGGAGGTGCAGGCTGCTGCTGCTGCTGCTGCTGCTGCTGCTGCTACTGCTGCTGCTGCTGCTGCCGCTGCCGATGATTCTGATGATTATGATGATCATGATGCTGATGCTCGACATACAAAGGCCTTTTTTGCTGGGACGTTCTTCTTTTGATTTTTCCTTCCCACGGCCTTTCTCAGGCGGCCCGGTCCCTCCTGGCCACCATGCGCTCGCGGCCCCGCTCGGCAGCAAAGAAGCGACCGGCATCGGTCCCTCGGCTGTACTTAGGGGGGGGGGGGGCTCTCTTGCTCTCTTGCTCTGAGACTCTCGCTGCCCCCCCTCCTCTCTCTCTCTGATTCGCTGCTGCTTTTTGGGGCTTGTGGAAGTCTGAGGGGGCTTGGTAGCCTTGCATTGTTGAGGTGTGATGTCATGTGTGAGAGAGGCACGGAAAGGTGAAGCTCAGTCGGAGACGCAAGCACCTGCAGGCAGCGAAAGCCGACGAAGCCGCGAGGGGCCCAGGACCATCGCCTCTAAGGTGGCTGTATAAGGAATCCAGAACCCCAAACTCCTACCAGTAGCCTGAATCCTGAAGGCCTGAACTCCACAGTTTCGGTGACCCGGGGGACGAGGTTGAGAAATTAGGGGCGGCTTATGGGGGCTTCTGGGGACTTCTGGGGGGCTTTGCAGAGGTATAGGGCATAGGGCATGTAGCGTTTATGGAGGTTCAGGGTTCCTCCGTTGCTTCTTGTATCGCCCCTAAAAGCCCTGCGATGCCGACCGTCTGTCGAAGGTCGGGGAGCAGCTTGCGGAGCTGAAAGCCATGGCAGCTGGGCTGCGTTCAGTGCTTGAGGGCGGTTTGCTTCCATTTTGATGCCTTCCACCCTGAGCCGCCATCAGAAACCTCGAACTAACCCTACACTGCTTTTGTGATCCGGGACAGTTGTCAAATTGTCCAGGTCGAAGAGGTGCTCTGGGTGGTGCTCCTGCAGGCCACAGCCAGTTCTTTGCCAAGCCGATTGCCGACAATCTGGGGCTCACACGTCAAGAGTAAGGGAGTTGGTTACATTGCCGTGGCCGCGCGGGGCATGCGCGACCGGCGCACTGAAGGCATGCACACCTGGCATGCGCGCCCGGCACGTTGGCTCTCGAAGCTTGCTCGCGTTTCGGAGGAGAATCGCTCTCTCGCCTAGCATGCTTCTGGCCTGACGTGAGGATTCCATGCTCGCAGTCGTGTTCTCATCTAGGTGCCATCTGCTAATTATTGATGCTTGAATTGCTCCGTGTCGCGAGAATGTGGCAGCTATAGATTTTCTTGCTTTTGAGCTCTTGGATGAGTCGGCTTCGTGCGTCCAGGGTTTGCACTTCATGGTGTTGCTCTTGCGCGGTCCCTTGCGCATGCTCCTCGTGAAGTGCAGAGCTGTCGTGGCTTTTTTTGGCTTGAATCTGGAGAACACTCTTTGGAGAGCGCTCTTTGGCGAGGTCTTGGAGTTCTTTTTGGGGTTCTCCTGGAGTGGCTTTGGAGTGTACTCGGTTTGGGGTCTACGCCTCTGCGCTGGCTCGATTTTCTCGCAGTGCTCTGCCTTTGCAGGTGCGCAGCTGTCCGAAGCCGCAGTCCTGCACTGGGACGGCGCCTAGTGCGCGTCCCAGACTGCGTGGCTGGCAGTCGCATTGATGCACCATTAAGAGCTCAGAAGGGTTTGGGATTGTACTTTCTTCCCAACCCTACGAGACTGAGGGTCACAGGAGATCGTTCCAGGCTACGGCCTATTGTTGAGAATCCCCTTGGCTGCGCCGTGTGACGAGGTGGCTTGGGGGCCACCGCGCTGGAGGCACTGGGATGATAAAAGAGGCTTGTTGAGTCCAGGGAAAGCGTATTTTGTTGGGATTTCTTAGGTTTCTCTGGAGTCCTAAGTTCCCTGTCAGCATCGGGTTTTCTTTTTTGGGGACGTACTTCAGATTCGTCGATTTGAAGGCCCCATCCAATGGTGGCCTCCGCAGGAGCGGCTGGGCAGCCTCCTCACAGCGCAAGTGGGACCTGCTCTCCGGCCTGCCGGGATCCCAAATCCCGATCTCGGGTTGAGGTGGTTAGTAGGGTCTTGGGGGTTTAGGGTTTCGGGTTGGCCATACCGGGAAGCTTTAGGGTCTACCGCGTAGGGTTTACGGTGTAGGGTTTAGGGTTAGCGTTTACCGGTGCTTAGGGTTTAGGGCTTGAGCCTTGTGAGGTCGCCAAGCGCCTCCTCGGACCTGGTCAGGCTCCGTACTTCCATTGGTTCCAGGATACATTGGCGCGTTTTTTTTTTGTGGGCTACCTGAATCTTGCTCCTCTTGGCTGGTCGTCGCTTCGTAGAAGCGGGGGTATTCCTGGATGATGCCTGAATAGCATGCGGGCAGCAGTCGAAGTTGTTGCAGGGTCTGCCGCGGCGATTGCGTGCAGAGCCTGTGCCTCAAATCGGTCTGCAGCAGTGATGGTCAGGGAGTCAAAGCAACTCCGTAGAGTGATGGCAAGCACCTCCCCTACGAACCCCACAAAGGGTGACAACGATGCGCGTTTTCCTGAACTAGGAAAAAGCCGAAATGTCTCGATCTTGTGCTACACAACCAAAGCTTTGTCATGGTTTGAAAGAGTTGGGCGCAGATGCCATAGTTAGAACAAGGGGGGAAAAGCCCAGAGCCCCCTACAGTAGGCATGAGAGAGCGAGGTTCCCAAAGTTGGCGCGGCACCTTGGCTTCCGTGAGTCGGAGGAGCGGCATTCAATCTTGGCAGATTCTGCAGCTCTGCAGCTTTGCGGCGATCATGTTTCTGTGTATCTTTCTGAGAGATGTCGTGAGGACCCTGAGCCGTTGCCAACATTGTGGCAGCAGGAGGCATTGAATCAATCGACAGCTGTCACGCGGCTCAGAGTGAACACTGCCTCGGACCGCCAGGAGGTGTCCCTGCACCTTGCGAAAGTGCGCGAGAGCCGCGACGAGCTCTTGTCCATGGACCTCACGAAGGCACGGTTCGCGTGACTTTCATACAGAGTCGGAGCTTTCAGCCAGTGCAATGGCCAGGACGCCATTCTTCGGCGAGGGCCCTGGTATGGCTCACCGAACTCTCAAAAGCCCTTGCCTTATCAGGGGCAGATTCGACTGTCAGGCTCGCCGACCTGAAGCTGCACTGAGAAGCGGGTGACGAACCGGAATACCGGAATTGCGCAGGATACTCCGAAGCCTGTTCCCCATGCAGGGATAGACCGGTGGTAGCAGGCCACAAGAGCCGCAAATCTGTGCTGCCGCTTGGGATGTTCGCTTAGATTTCACCGCAAGGATGTGCATCAATTCGACACTGTTCAGGATCCTAACGCAGAAGGATGCCCACCCTCAAGGGGACGCGGCATGTGCGACCCGAATGGCATAGCTGTCAGCTCCTGTGACAAGTGCTGCCAGTGCCCCGTCTGCGGCTTCACCCAACATAGGTTCGCATGCGCATCCACAGGAAGCCCTTGGCCAGCACCTGCAACCTGTGCTCTTAAAAGAAGACATGAGAAGACTCAATTCAATGACTGGGGGGAACTCCCCAACAGGCCTGCAGAGTCCATCCTCTCCGCGGTCAGCACAAGCCACCTGGGCTGCAGAGATCGAAGCACGTGCCGTGACATGGGGGTTGCCGATATTCGGGGTACACCTTATTGGGGTCCTTATGATAAGGGAATCTTGCTATTTGGGGCTCCATTGTAGGGGTGCCCTCTTGTCGTAGACCCCCCACATGTGCACTGAAGAAAGTTACAAGGATGTGTCGTGCGAGAGCCACCCAGCCAAGAAGCGTCTCAGTAGGGTAAACGGGGTTTTGCTGCTTCTGTCAGAGGTTGTTGCACCCAATTTGTTGGGGGGTGGCACCGAGAACAGCCCCAAGCAAACGCACTTGCAACTCGGGATGAGCTCCGGGAGCGCTGCAGGCTTTGTGCCTTCACTGCCTCCAGCTGAAGTCAAGCCCTTGGCGTTCGGACCTCAAAACACACTGGTCCCAGCTCAGTTCCACCTGCAATTTGTTGAGCTACTCGCTGCGCCAACGGTTTTTTTATGTCCTGAGACGAAAGGGAGGCAGATGAGTGTGTTGCTGCTCTGGCTCAACCGCCTCAACCGTCTCAATCCTTCTTCAGAGCACCTGTTAAGACCCGTGTCATCCGGTGTCATCTTGTGTCATCCCGTGCCAGTTTGCAAAGTTTTTAGAAGTCTCGGCTTTCTCAGCTGATGTTCGGGATGTGCCGCACGTGAGCCGCCACGGGCATGGACGGCCTTCCAGAGGATGCCCGCGGCGCCCCTGGATGCGCCTGGTGCGATTTGCCTCCGGCACTCCTGTCTTCCGTGCCTCGTCACCTCATCCCCACAGGAATAGCATTGGGATTTGGGGCGTTCAGGGTCTTAGGGCTGAGGTTTTGAGGTCTGTAGGGCAAAGCCTAAGCTCACGAGCGGGGCGAGCAGCTGTACTACGTGATGCAGCTATCGCATGTTACGGGGACGACCCTTTGTCAGCCTCTTCTCACATGAAGCTGCGCACTGCACTGCACTTGTTGGTAGGAACTTCATCGTCTGATGCTTAACAGTGTGATGGAGGTCCTCCTCCACCTTGACGTCACGGCCCTTTGTGCGGCCGCAGCCATAGCGGCCCCCTGGAGCGGCGCGGCACTGCCCGAGGTTCTTCGGAAACCTGCTTAGGGGGGTCGGTATTGGTCTGGGTCGGTTGTAGGGGGTCCCTGGCTTAGGGCTTTTTCGGTTTAGGGATGGCGTTGACAGAGCGCGGACGAGCAGAAACGGCTTTGTCTCACCCAAGTGACAGAACGGGGCAAAGTGAC